ACGCGCACGCCAACACGCATACACATACACAGACACACACACACAAGCATACACATACACACACAAACACAGACACGAACACAATTTCAGCCACAAACGCACACGCACACACACACACATAAACACAAGCATGCACACAAGCACAAATACAACCACAACCACAACCACCACCACAAACACAAACTCACACACTCAAACACGAGCACAAACACACACGCACACACGCGCCCCTAAGTCAAGGAAACCAGAATTTATGAATGAGCGTGCAGTTCGACAAGAGAAGGCCACTTTTTTGTTTGTTTGTTTGTTTGTTTTTCGGTAGGGGCTTTTCATTTCAGCTCGCTGGCGAGGACCTGAAGGAGCTACCGCAGAGCCCAGAGCTGCGAGAGGAGTTCCGGTCCAATCAGCTGGTGCTGCTGCAGAACTTCCAGACCCGCCAGGCAATCGCAAAAAGTGTGTGTGCGTGTGTGTGAGTGTGTGTTTTAGGGTGCCCTTTTGTTTGGTGGCGCCCTATTGTGACACATGCCCAAATCAAGATAGGTCTCACGGGATGGTTGTACATTGTTTATGCGCATATACATCGGGAACTGTTAAGTTGATTGCAACCCTAGCAGGGGTTGGTTAGGTTATGACCAAAGTCACAACCTGCTTACTACGCCTGGGAACCAAATGTCGTCTTGGGTTTTCCGCCAGGGTAGGGGGAAAAGACGCGGCTTACAATAAAGGGCATCGCATGTTGGGAAATCAACCACCCCTGGGTTTATGTCAGCCTAAGCCATGCCCGGATGAAGATGCGTGGCTTTGGTGGATCTGCGTTTGTAGGGTTCCTGTGGCCAATCTATCTCATCCTTGACGGGCGACGGCAATCATCACCGAGTTCATCTGGGGGTAAGAACGGCAATCTCGCATGATGGTTACTTGGGGGTTCCGTACTTGAGGTTTGTAATTGTAAACGCTTCGCGGCCCACCTCGGTCAGGGCCTTTGAAGTCCGAAGGGCAAGGGGCTGGGGCCAGGGGGGCTTGCGTCTCCGCTTCCCAGCCCTGGGGCCCAGTATTTGCACGGGATACAATGTGGAGTGCTCATGATGTGTTGAACGCGAGACACTGTATTCCATGCAAAATGACCAAATCTCAGCAGAAAGGGGACTGTTGCCAGAGTGGAGTCCACTTCATTTTGACACCATGCACACGAGCGTATGTATATATATATATTACATATGTAGCCGTGAGCTGCAGGCATGACTTAATGGAGGGAGGGATGAACAAGACTACCTCCAGGTTTCTGACAAACTGCCAGCCTGTGGTTCTGTGACGCTGAAGAGGCGGCGCACATGAGGTAGGGTTTGTGCGTTTGCTTCTTGTCCCCCAAAGGTGTGATTTACGCTAGTGCTGTATATGTGGTATATGTCAAGGTGTCAAAAGTATTGTGCCCTGTTTGGAACCCTTTAGAGGCGACCGGTAGGAACCCCTACTTTGGTGACCCTCGGCTGAAGGGAAAACTGAAACTTGTGTGGTTGCTCGCTAGGAGCGTGCCAAAGAGTGGCAGCGCCACGTCTTCGAGCCGAAGCTGGTGCCAGTTTTCCATCAGCTCGAGAAGAACCAACGCGCTGGACATGGTTTCGACGTTTCGCAGACCTTGAGTTTTGCTTTTCCAGGGGGCCGTAAGTCCTTGACCCGGCCAATTCGAAGTTTGGCTGGAAAGCTAAGGGTGGAGAGGAACTGGCTGGCTGGCTTGCGAATCTGTGAGCGCCAGAAGTTGGGTGCAGCAAAATCATGTCAACATTTCCTCTTTCAGAGGTCTCCGCATCGTAGTAAGTCGAGGCATACAACTCCGTTTATCCGCTTGTTGGATCTCAGGCAAGCAGGTGAAAACCAGGATGGAAGATTTGGATGTCCAGAACCTCGCAGAGAGGCAACAATGTGGTGCTTTGGTTGGCCTTTGAGAAACGAGGGATCATTGATGTGACAGTGGAATTTGCACAACTCGCGCAGCTAGGCGTTCAGTGTCCTTTGCGCTTATGGAGCGTTGGGGCGTTTCTGCGCAATGATTCTAAGCAATTTGCATGCAATGGCTGGCCAAGTCGCTGAAGCAATTCCTTTATTCACGAGCTCTAGGTTTCTTGTCCACCCTTCAGGGTTTCTCAGCTTCCATCTGTGCTTGAGCCCTTAAGAGACCATTCTGAAATCAGACCTGTAGGACCCACGGAGTTGGGCTTTCTCAAACGAATGGGTGGAAAGGACGAGATATCGATCTTTACTTGGTGGCTCCCGAAGGCCATCCGGTTCCTTAGCTTTTTAGCTTTTTAGTCTTTAGTGGTAGTTTCCATTTAACCCGCTAAAAATTGAACTTTTAGCGGGGGATCTGAGGGCAGCCCAGTTTAGAATGCCTTCAACGGCGACTTTGTCTCAATGGGTTGGGCGGCCTCGCCGGCCGGAACTGGGGGTCCCGTCCCGTAGGATTCTTCCCTACCATGGCAAAGGCGAACACGCTGAATGGCATCCAGGCGAGGGGCTAAGAAATGGTCAACACTGCACACATTGGGGGAAAGCAACGAGATATGCCAGGTGGCCCAAAAAGTTGGCGTTTTGTTGGGACATTGAGCCAACACTTCTGACTTGACATGCGATATAGTTCCGTCTGCTGTCTCTTTTCGATGGAACGCAAGTCACGGTGAGTGGTCCACTTTACACACTGGGCTGTTCAACGGAAATCCTTACCTTGGGTTACGCAAGGGTTTTTCCCTTTGTAGTGGCTTCCCTATAGGGATTCGAGGATTGGCCTGCAGTTTGAACAGCCCAGCCACAGGTTTTCCGGCGTTTTCGCTTTGGACCGGAGGTGCACCGGGTGACGGTGGGAAACCTCACGGGCCTGGCCAGCAAACTAAAGGGAGAAGCCGTGCAGCTGCAGCTGGGGGTGGCCTACTCCCTGGCGGGCTGCCACGAGAACTGGCCCAACAAGAAGAACAAGCAGGTGCGGTGCGCCTGGGCTGGCGTGTGCTTTGTTTGATCTTTCTCGCCAAATATGTCCTCTTTGGGGAGAAAGTATGGGGGAAAATGTGGAGGCGGATACCATCGGGACATTGAAACCATTTGGGAGATGATACGTCTGCCGTCACCCCCGAGGGTCGCAGGGTCGCCTTTCTCCCCGGGTCGACCGGCTGCGCTTCGCAGGCGGTGAAGAATTGGAAGCAGCAGGGCTTCGATTGCATGGAGGCGCAGGACAGGACATGCCAAGGTGTCTCTGCCAAAGGGGTCCTATGGGGTGTTTCTCAAAAGGGTCCCCTCACGCTGCTTTCTTTTTGGTTTCCCTTTCGGTACGAATCAACAGGGGATCCGCCATCTTGAGAAAGAGGCGAATGAACCTTTTGGGGTCCGTTTGCTTGTTGCGTGTTATTTTGTGCGGAGTTCGAAGCTCTACAAAGCGATGCAGAATCTGAGCTTCAGGTTTCACTTCAGCTTTGGTCACGCCAAGGCCACAAAACGAAGCTCAAACTTCGAAGCGCATTGGCAGCACAGAAATTCCCCCGAAATGTTGAACATGCCTGGTTTGCTTTCGGTTCCCTTTGATCTAAGAAGAGGTCCTACCAGGTCCTGGACCAGGACTGACATGTCAGGATCCCATAGCGCCCAAGCGCTTCCTGGTGTGGGCGCCCTTTGCCATCTACGGCACCCACCTCCTCAACGCGTCGCAGGAGCGCCTCTTGAAGGCCAGGGATCGGGGAGTTGGCCCCGCGGCCCTGCAGCGCTGCAAGAAAAACATGGGTCGGCTCGATTCAAGTGGTGCAAAGTTTGGGTGGGAAATATACTTACCACCTATTGCCTGTTGATTTGGTCTTGTGTTCCATTTGCCAGAGCCAATGTTTCCCTTTGCAGCCCAAGTTCCAGGCAAGCAAAAAATGGGGGGGGGGAGGGGCGGAGCAATATCGATTTTGCTCCTTTCCTCTACAGGTGGTGGTGGTTGTGGTGGTGGTGGGTATTGTACTACGCGCACGTTCCAATCTACTTCTGGGAACAAGTTGGACAGAGAGGGTGCGCGTTGTACTTTCACAGCCTCAGTATCGGGTGGACAACCCATAGGAGCCCGTTCTTGGCTGTGGGCTATGTCGCACTACCAGCTTTCTAGGGGTTGATTCCTTTTCCATTCTTTTCGACCATCGCTCTTTTCAAAAACCAGCTGTTTCCCCTAGGTTTTGTACGGTTTCCTGCAAGGAAGATACCCCTAGAAGCTTGTTTTTGGCACACCTCGCCAGATGCAAAGAAAAAAAGGTGTCCGCTGCTCTGCAGGCGGCGGCCATACTGGAGGCGAGAAGTGGCCCCAGCTCTTTGCTGCCGAGGCGGGATTCACACGTCAAGGGAACCCACAAAAGGATGGTATCGGTTTGGTTTTCCAAACCAATAAAGGTATCAGGAAAAGCTTGCTCAACGCTACATGACACCCAAATGGGTCAGTTTGGCGTAGGCGTCCTGTTGGGAGGATGGGCACTGGTCGCTGACTTTAACCTAACTCGAGAACCCATCAAGTCTCCATGAAGGGTGAGACTCGCAGATGCCCAGCACCGACCCGGGCATTTTGGGGTAACACGATTTATATCGCCCAGTCTTTTTATACGAATTTGTGAATCGTACTTGCCCAGATGTATGGGAGGGGCAGCATACCCCCAATAGAAAAGGACTTCTTCCACCACACATGTTTCCTTTGTGTACAAGGGAAACAAAGTTGGGGGGCAGGGATTCCACGTGCTCCCAGTTGGGATAGCCACTACATGCCTCATCCGCAGAGCACACCGACGAAATGCGAACCGTGTTGAGAGATCGTTTCAGTGAACCACAACTCATACCCGGGTATCCGTATCTGCCAAGACATACATGCATTGCGCAACGGGACGTCACGCTTTCCAAATTTAAGTTAAACTCACTCACTCTCACACATTCCCTTGCACATGCGTCTCATGTTCGGGGAGCAAGAGACCGCTTTCAGCAATCTCCCTTTCACACTGGACCACCCTGGCGGCACTCCCTAGCCACAGCTGCCGGGCACCGTCCTCAGGAGGTGCGGCCTCCGAAACTACCGCAACTGAAGGCAGCCCCCACAGAGAATGCAGCTCCCTGCTAGGAACCTGCACCCCCCACTGCACGATGCATTGCAACTGCGCCATGCCATGCGGCGCTTGGCCCCGCCGCTCCTTTGCACCAGCATGCATCAATCACTTGCCGGATTTAAGACAAACTCATATGTGTATGTACATCGATCAGATAATGGAATTTGGGATCGATGAATTCGGGGAATGTCCCATTGGGACAATCCTTATCTTTAGGGAGACGCCCCATTTCAGGTGACCCTAAATGGGTTCTGGTCTAAACGGGTTCCGATCGCATGCGCCAAAGCTCATTGGGCTTTTCGCATCCATTTCGGGGCGCAAGTTCGAATCCTGTTTGGGGTCAGCCAACTAGTAATCTGGCAGGTTGATTACTCCGGAGCAAAATGGGTCAGTGTTTTTTGAGGGCACCCCTTTTTGGGGCTGGTTTAGAGGGAAGCCAAAGTGAAAACCGCACGTTTTGGGGTCCCCCACCCCCCGAACTCGAGACTCAGCCTCGCAGGCAGATCCGCTTGGACCCGCCCAGCGGGCCTCTAGTGCTCGCCGCGGACCGAGACCCGAATCCGCGGGTTCCGAGGTCAAGTGGAAGGCGTTAATGGAAACCCTGGATTAACAAACCTGTCCTATAAATCGGGGGGTTGGAAGCCCCTCCGAACGACCCCAAAGAACAGGGAACTAGAGGTCGATTGATCCGGGTGTCCAATTCTCATTCCTCTTTTAAAAGACCTAGAAACAAGGCTTGCCGTTTTCTTGTGGTTTTCCGCTCCCCTTTCCCCCACTATGGAGCTATTTGCCGACCAGCAAGCTAGCCAACTAGCCAATCAACTAACTAGCTCATGGATAGAGAAACAGGTAGATAAATTGAGAGCTAGATACTGGATAGAGAAGTGCAGGCGTTCATCTCTATACTGTTAAAATGAATGTAACATGTGCTTCTCTGAGAACCCGCAATCTTCAACCCTCAAACCAGGACTAGCTAGCACGTGCTAGCGCTTGCTACCCCATCCCACTAGCACGTCCTCCCGGAAACATGATCTGACATGTTCAACCTTCAACCCTCAAACACAATGTGGTAGAACCTAGCTTTGAGGTAGAAAAGAAGGGTGCGAATTACAAGCATCAATTTGATGAGCAAACGCAATTTACTCGCATTTTACCAGTATACATGTGATTTTGCCATCAAACAAGTGAGTTCTCCATGGGGTGTTGCCATATATTTTTATATATACACACACCCAATGCGTCACCCCCGACCCCCTTGTCTTAAACACCGCACAAAAAGTGCATGCACAAAAAACACACACACACACATGCTCGCCGCGTGCACTCCCACACAATGTGGGAAATATTGTTCCGCACGTTCACCGTTGGATGATCCGGCACGGACAAGCCCCGAATGGAGTTCGCTTCCCTTGTGAGGTTGGGTTGCCGAAAGCGGCTTAGATTTGTTGAGCCCGGCAGCGTTGCGCGATGTGGGATGTAGGGCCAGCGGGGCCAGGTGACAACATGCAACACAGGACCATGGAAAGTGTGTGCAAGGGCAAAGCAGGTACATGGCAGTACTGCCCCCTTATATGTGTGGCATACATATCACACACACACACACACCCAAATACATTCATACCTACGTGCACCTGAAAACGTGTACATCCATTGCATAAATACATGGATACATCACACACATTGCGTACATACATTGCATTGCGTTGTGCTACCTTACACTGTGTTTTGGTACCTTGCATCACATTGCATTACCTAGCATAGCATAGCCTACGTACATACGTACATGCATAGCTACATACGTACATACATACATGTATACAGGCAGGCAGACAGACAGACAGAGACAGACAGACATACATATATGCATGCATGCATACGGTGCTAATGTTGTGCAGACCTGAGGGTGTACTCGTGGGGTTGCAGCCCCGATTCACTGGGAAACCATGGCACCCTTTGTTGGCGATATACCAGCTAATATGAGTCTTTGTTTAAACATCGGCTTCAGCCCCCCCCCCCCCCACCACACAAAGCTCTGCTGCCATCCCTCTCTTTGGAATAGGGGTTGGTTGGGGTTGATTTCGGCTTGGTTTGGAGGGTTAATTTGGGATGGGTCATGGAAATACCTGCTTGCTTGTATTTGGTATCGGGAGCGCGGGGATTAAGGGGATCCGGGGGGTCCGAGAAGGGGCGGGGATACCATGGGGTCTTAGGATTGGACCATAATAGATACGAATAATTACTATCATTGTCATCGTTATCATTATTTTGAAGCATTCGGGTACACCCCTAGAAGACAGCAGTCCGTCATTGTTTTGAGAAGGGTACAATGCTCAGATTGCTGCCGAGGCTTCAGAACAGCCTGAACATGGCCCGGACGGGGACGCCCGGTACGGCCAGATTGAGGCCTGCTTAGGAAAGGCGCGTTATAGTTCCCTCCTAGTTTTTGGTCATTTTTGGTCATTTGTCAATATTTCCTTCAGGTGGGGTGATGTTAAAGGGGGGCATTTTAGGAAGCCTGCGGGAGGTGATGTTCTGCGTGCAATAGAAAGTGCTCACGCGCGCAGTAGCGTGTCGAAGAAAGGTCATGCCCCCAATAACCAATGTCTGCCCCATACAGCTTTTGTTGGGGCAAGGGAATGAACGTCAGGCTTCCCACCTTTTTAAAGCTGGGGGATGCTGTATCTTATTGGTTGATTGCATCCTATCAAGTGATTATGCCATTTTAGGTTGCCTGCAACACGTTCCGTCGGAGAAACAATGCCCTAACCAAGAATGATAAGCACAGCGGTGCGCAAGCCAGGGAAGTTCGGGATGTTTACTTTCGGCCTTTCTGAGGGGAACTCGGCCAAACTGAAACTCACTTCCCGAGTTCCTGGAATTCAGTGCTTTTTGGGAAGACCACTTTAGCTGCAAGCAAAAGCTTGGACTCTTTCTGCCCTCTCAGCCGATCGGAAGCGAGCAAGAACAGGCCGAATAACTTACGTAACTTATTGGTCTCTAATCCCTTGTCGCGGTCTGTTCTTTTCTTGCGGGGGGGCACTTCGTCAATTCTCGTGTGAGGGTTTGGTTTTTGAAAGACAACGTCCAGTAGTCTGTGGGTCGGGACGTGGGGAAACTCAAAAAAGGACCACAACAACCGGGTGACTCACTATTTTCCAAAGTCCTTTTAGGGGAACAAGTAATTTGGATTGTACCTCACGCAACGAAATGTGATGACACAGCGTGCGACGTCCGGTTGGAAGAAACGCAAGCCCCGCAAGATTGGTCGGGACCGGCCTTCACATCAATAGTTTGATGTACGTATCCATCATCGCAAGCAGCTGAATATGTTCGAAACGATGGATGGCCTGACCCTGTGTATGATACCTCTCGACGATCATCAAATGCTAACCTGACACATCTCGAATCTACAGAATCCCAGCATGTTGGGTCAAGGCATGTCTTGCCTTCTCTCCCGCTTACTGCCTATCCTCGATGCTTATCCCAACCCTATCAGCATTGTCCTTTCTGCGTATTGATCAGACATCACGGTCACCCTAAACAAATCGAAGGAAAGCCACCAGAGCATGGACGTTTGGTTGACCTTGGGTGAACACGAGTGGCACAGGCTCCTTAAAAGATACATCTTGCAACCATTTGAAGCGTGTTGCTTTTTCAACACCAAAATAAAGTTGGAAACACCACCATTTGCAAGTTGCAATGTTCAGGTGTTTTTCATGCATCCGGATCCCTGCACCATTCCCCCTTCTTTTCCCCCTCGCATTCCCAGGCCGAGTTTCGAGACGCTAATGTTCAACGATTCGCCCGCAGGAGCTTCAAGGGACGTTGGCCGAGACCTTCGTCTTCCCGCGGGAGTGGGACGGCGCTTTGGCAGGCGTGGATTCTCGAACCCAGAGCGATGTGCCAGTGGTTGAACCTGCCCATTCAGGGTGTTGGCCAACATCGTTTTGGTTTTGCTTCTGCTCAATATGCGCTTGGCTGGCGGCAAGAAAGCCATGGTTGTGTCTGTGAGGTTCCAGGATTCGTCGATTTCAAGGACCTGAATGAGAATCCCAGAGCTGCAACTCCATCACCCCTCAAAAGACGGGAACTCTCCAGTTCCCGGCCACGGAAATGCTCAGATCCTATTCGCATGTTTGAACAAAGAATCACTCCCCTGAGAATTGATTCTGAAGGTTTTGGCGGGTTCTGTATTGATCTGCAGGAGTATGCAGCGCAGGTGACTCATGGTTGGCCATCTCAAGGCAAGGATTTTGCCTTTTTCCATTTTCACTGGCGCATGAATTCTTGGAACGGCATCTATGCCCAGGTGATGGGTGAGTTATTTGGGTGAAACAAAACAGGAAACCCATGATCATCCAGTGGATATTTTTTTGATATCATGATTCACCAAAGGTAGGCAGGAGGTAAACAAGGAGACAGTCTGGAGTTGGAGAAGAACGGGTCTGAGGGCTCCTTTTCTGAGCCCAGCGATCATTTTTGTTTCCTGCAGGCGGGCTCAGCGATCGGCACGAGGCTGAGCTGAGACAGTGGCTTGGACTTGGCCTGGGACGTGTGGGTTGGGGTTTAAACGGAAGGCAAAAGGAACAGCAAAATCAATTTTTGTCCCCCCCCCCTTTTGGACACTTTTTGTTTACCGAAGCCCTTCTTGCCCTTGCCTTCTTGCCCTTTGCCTTTTTCACATCTTGCCTTCTGGCCCTTTTCAGATTTTTCATGCTCCCTTTTGACCAGCAAAATATTAATTCTTTTAGCCGGGTTTGGCAACGTCTTGATCACATCTTTGTCATTTTGCTCTTTGCTAAATGGAGGGCGACAAGACCTGCATCCTGGGTTTGGGGTTGAACATTAACCAGGTAAACCATATAGAACCCGGGAACTGCATGTCTTCCCGGTGCTTTTAACCCCGACTAGGGCGCCTTTACGACAAACGTCCAAACGGCCCTTGGGGATCGTACTTGTGTCTAGCATGGAAACAGCAACCCCCCTTGAACAGCCAACCAAAAAGCCACTGGTCTCACACCAGAAGGGCCCAGAAGCAAAGTACAAGATCGAGCAAAGCAGTTTCAACTCCGGATCGGGCCACCTCCCTGCAGAGCAGGTCAAACGCAGGCAAATGCGCACACTAAACAACGGGCCGCGGTCAAGCGCATGGGCAATTTGAGCCCTCTTGGTGCCCAATCAAATGGGTTTTCGAATCAAGGGGGTACATGGTTTTTACACACGGGTTCGTACACGTAGACATCAGCTTTTGGGTCAATGTTGGTCGAGTTTTGCTTCCTAGAGTGATGTTTACATGTTTTTAAACCGGGCCCAGGATAAGCAAATCATTGAATGATGGCCGCTGGATGCAATCCATTTTATGAGGAATCAAGAGTTGCCTTAAACTACACCTGTTGGGCCAATGTTGATCGAGTTTGTTAGTTTTGAGTCTGGTGTGCAACCCATTCTTAGGGACATGTTGATATAGTGTCCATTTAGAAGGGTGGTGTTTGAAGCGGACACATGTGCAACTGATAGAATTGCTGGTAGCCTATTGTAAGTTTGGAAGGGCATGGCGGATTTCCGCTTGGCGGGACTGGCCCTAGCTTTTATCCTTGGGAAAGAAGTGTGCAAGGGTGAGCCGACCCCCCACATATATACCTATAAATATGAAAGGCAAGTGGGCAAGCGGACAGTGAACATATGGATCACCATCAAAGCGATCTTCCGGATTGTGACTGACAAAAGGTCCAAGGCGAGTGCTTACAACCCCCCCCCAAGAACGGCCATTTTGGCAGATGGTTCTATTACCCTGTTTATTCGGGCTGATAGTAAATCCCTTCTGGGGGTGTCTTTTGTTACGAACAAAACACGTGTAAGTCTTTCTATCCCTTCTTGAGACCCTCAACAGGGTTGTTTTCCTTTTAGCTTCCGTTTGAAACCACCAAACCCCTCAAAAGAAGACCCTGAAATAAATCTTCATGGCCATGGTAAGAACCAGAAGTCAACGGGTCGGCGCGGCTCAGTGGCTTTGGTCGCAAGGAAGCTGTCCTGCCTGAACAGCTCCGCCACGCCCTTCGCGGGGAAGAACCTCCTGCAGCAGCTGAAAGCGAGCTGCGAGGTTCGCTCAAGATATCTTCATCGGAAGGCTCTCAAAATATTGGTTACCTCTTGGTTTCCCTGAACATATTGGTTACCTCTCAAACATATCGATTCAAATGCTTGGTTTCCTCTTGGTTTCCCTTTGACACCATACCAGGCACTCACTCATGTTGAGAAACTCCCCGTTGGGGAGGGACATTTGGAGACCCAATCCTTTTGCCTGACAAAAAGCGGAGGAATATGCGTTCTTCCCCGGGAGCAATCTCTAAAAGGTTTTCCCATTTTGCCAGTTGCACATGTTTTTGCTCCCAGAGGACACCTAGGCACTTCTCGTCAGGTGGCGCTGCTGGACTTGCTGCTAGCCCTGGAGCTTCCGGATGAAGAGGAGCCCCTTGGGCGTTTTTCAGCCCTCCTTGACGTGATTTGTGTAGCCTAAACATAGGACTGGGATCTCTTATCACTGGATCCCTCGTCAGGCGGCTTGTTCCGGCCATTGAAAGGTGGGTGTTCACGACGGTCCAGAATCGAAACGGTTCGGTATTTGGGGGCAAAAGCAGTAAGCAGATAAGAGCCAGAGGTCGCGCTGTGCAGGAAATCCGACACTGTGGAGAGCGAAGTAAGAGGCGTACGTACCGGTGTAGCTGACAACTCCTCTAGGCGCATGTTGAGGAACCCTGTTCACGTGCCCACTGTACACAGTTTTTTGTTGTAACTCCGAGTTTGGACAAGTTCACCAGCTGGTTTTCAGGGAGAGCAAAGGAGCTGGGCATGTGTGCCACAGATCCCGAAGGCACAGATTTCCCTCGTGGATTTGACCTCCGCCGCTTCGCTTTCGAGTTGACATCCGTCGGATCTTTGCGGGTGCCAAGGTCTGAGGCCGCCTTGGAGACGTACTTGAAAGCCGTTCGAGCCACGCCGAGGAGCGATGGGAAGGATGGGACGCACCGGGCTTCAAGTTTTGATCTCAGTAAAGGGGGCCCCCAAATCGGTGGTTTGCCTTTGGTTTTCCTTTCAAACCCCTAGCAAGGGTACCGAGCCTCGAGAGGGAGACCCGGTGATCCTGAGGTCTCCAGTCTTTCACACCGCCAGATTGCAGGATTTGCCATGCGAGCGAGAGGGCCCAGTGCTTTCATGGTTAGCTTTTGATGAGTTCAGCACGTGGTAAATGCTGCGGTTAATGCAGAGTTTGAAATCTGGCCAATTATATTTGCAAATGGACTATGTGTTTGGACACGTGTGGTCTTTGCCTGCAGGTTCTGGGCAAATGCTCAATCATGTTCATTCACCCAGACCAGACCTCGAAGGGAATCCCTGGCAAGAATCGACCGCGACCTTCATAACGTTTGGTCATCCGACAATCGAAGAGGTCATGACCCCGTTTTCTACGGCTCAGACATCGTCTGGCAGCTATGTTTGCAAAAAACCAGCCAACAGGCGACCCCCAAAAGGCGTGGAGATGTTCGAGCCCCTGCGCTTTGGAGGCAGGAGGCTCACCCCCTGCTGCTCCTGGCCCTCTGTCGCCGCCCCGCGCCCAACGCGCCCAACGCGCCCAACGCGCCCAACGCGCCGCCGGCCTCGGTGCTGCAAGCCTTCCCGGCGCTGCAGCCGCTGCTCAGCGAGGCGGAGAAGGCGCGCTGGGGTGGCGGACAGCTCTTCTTACGAGACCCGCCTGGGGATCATGTTTTTGGGTGCATTTCCGGCATTCTTTGTTGATGTTAAGGTTCTGAATCATGTTTTTGGGTTGGCAAAAGCTGAGGTGGTGTTGGTTAGGTTTTCAACCTGGAACTTTTGCAACGATCAGCTTGAAGATAGGACAGGAAGCGTGTCTTTCCAACGGAGCCGGTCAAAAGTTAAGTTGGGATGCAGGGAAGCACCACCAAGAGAGGCATGTATTTGACATGATGTTCAATGGCGCCATACTCTCAAAATGCGAATTTGGGTTTGGAGCAACAGCTTGGGTAGCCTGGGCATCTGAGTTTGCCCATCTTTTCTCCCATGCCGAAACCTCCGTTTTTGTGGTTGCAAAGGGAAACCGAAAGGACAACTATCGTTTTGTGGGGTACAACAGACATACCCATTCATACATTTTGGGGGTGATAGAGCAGTCCTGTTTGGCAATTTGAAACTGGTTCGATCCGCCAAGAGGGCCTACCTCTCTTTCCGTGTAGCTCAGCGTCCATGGCACTTGTTCTTTTGGGTGTCACTATATCGGGGCAGTGGTTTTGCCCTTCGGCTACCCTACCAACATGGAAGCGCATCGCGGTTTCCACAAGGGATAAAGTCTTCTGTGCACTTCCCTTGGTGTTCCCCAATAAGGAAATGGGAAGGCTTTGTGGGGGGTTTCTGTATCCCTTTTAAAGCAATCCCCTTTAAAAGGGGGTACCTAACAACACGTATCTCGGTGTCGGCAGGCGATCCCTTTCAGGCCTCCCGTTTCGGTTGGCTTCTCGAGGCGCGCCTGGCGCCTGAGACGGCGGCCGTGGCAGGGACGGAAGCGGCGGCGGTCTGGGAGGAGATGAAGGAGACCAAAGGCGATCCGGGCGACCGGTTCCTTCGCCGTTTCCCCGCCGAACCACCGCTATGTTTGGTCGACAGGGCCAGAGAGTTTCGGGTTTGTGGCTCGTTCGGAGCGGGCTGGGGGTGCTGGGGGTGCTGGGCATAGCACCCGAGCTCTTTTGAGCCCCAACCCAGTTTCTTGGGACCCAACCACAAAGCAACTGGTGGCCCGTGGCTCCAAACCACTCCGGGAGCCTTGGGAACTTGGAGCCCAACAAAGTCAGGATCCGAATCCCGGTTTCGCGAAACCCTCAACACCCAGCCGTGCTGGAACTCTCATATTCTTTCTCGCAACCCTTGGTAACCCTGACCACTGTGCAGCAACTCCATGTAACCCGGGCACCAACCGCAGAGACCCAGCCTGCAGCTGGGGAAACTAAGGTCCTTTGTCCTTCAAGGTTCCGAGTTGAGTTGCCGCAGTGGTCACCTGTTGCGACGCTTGCAGAAAAGGAAAGGGACCCCGGGTCCCTTTCCACCGGGGTCCCTTCCCAATTGTTCACCAGGCACCTTTTTCCTTCTTGTTTGGCGCCCCACTAGCAATGCTCACCCCCGAAAAGGGTTCCAATCCTTCTCTGCCAGGGCCACAAGGAAAACCAAAAATTGGCCACGTTAACCAAACCGACTAAAGCCAGGGGTGTGAGATAAATCCGAAATCCTTTGTGGGATGGTTTTGAAGTAATCCAAACAGTCCATCTTTCTGGACATTATCCAAGCAGATGAATCTGGAACCCAAAAACCCGCAATTCTAGAGAGGAATCCCTTTTGGGGGACGCCTTTTTTTGAGGCTCCAGGTCAATTCGCCCTTAGGACCCTTCCGTTTCGGTCTTTGTTTTAAATGGGACCTTGGAGGCTGCAGCTCGGAGGCGATGGATGAGCTCATGGCGCTCACGGGCCTGAAGCGGGTCAAGGAGCGGGCCAAAGCTTGGGCAGCCACTTTTTTCATGGAAGCCACCAGTCAAGGAAAAACGGGTTGGGTGGGCCAAAGCGGCCATGGCTTGCCGGGAAATTCCCCGCCAATTCTCATGGAAGAGGCACTGGTGAATTGCAGCTTTGGAAGCGACCCCTGTGGGTTGGTCAACTTTTGAAGCGGCAGCCGGCCATCAGGTTTGTGTGCCAGTTTGGCAATATTCCGTCGCGATATGGGTGTGAATTTCAGAGAAGGGCTTTTGAAGCATCGTTTACTCTCCCGCAAATTGACATGTAACTCAAACTGTGGCTCCCCAAAAAGACGTTCCTCTAGAACTGATGGGTGTTGGGTGGGTCCATGTTAGTCTTCAAGGGAGTATTGGATCTTCACATGTTCTTTTGCTCAAGTCATCCGTTCTTTGGCAACCAGCCGTGCCACAGCAAACTCATTAACCCCTCCCCGCTCTACAGTATTCCAATGATGCCCCCGCCCCCAATCCCACTATCCCATACCCCCGGCTTGCATACCCCAACCCCGCTACCCCCCAACCCGATTCTACATTTGAAGCTAAACATTAGCAACCAACTTGGCGGCCCCCGAGGACACCGCAGTGGCACTCTACAAGTCGGCCCTGCAGTTCCAGCGGATGAGTCCGGAAGCGCGGAAGGCGCCTTTGGTCTCCCTTGGCTTTTGACAATTGATCGCATGTTGGGCTGGGGATTTGTTTGACATTCTATCCTGGATCGCAAAACCAGCAACAGTGACTGAAAACAGCAGCAACTTGGCTATCTAGGATGGCATGGTAATTCAGTTTGGTCACATATGTACTTCAGCATAGGCGACAGTCATTCTGGGAATCAGATCCAGTACTGAGGCAAACGCCATGGCCTTGCGACTTGGACGCCAAATTATTGGCCGGGGTGGAAATGGAGTAAGCCTGGCACGCGCGTCACGCGAGTGGGAGGCGCCACAATCAAACCTGTTTGGAGCCGTGCTGTGTCTTGCGAACAGCAACGTGCAACATCGGCCTTGCGGCGGTGGCTGATAAATTTCGCTGATACTCAAAGAACTTTCGAAGATAATCCCGGCTGAGGGAAACTCAAGGCCGTTTCACCTAGCAGATCTTTTGAAGCCAAGCCTGCAGAGTCGCTCACCCTTGCAAGCACACAGGCTCGATCCCTTTCTGGAGGTGTTCCAACCATGTGGCTGTGGGTCAAAAATTGAAACATGGACTAAAACCTGTGGTCCCCCGTTGGCTTAATTTTGACCCATACCCATGTGGTTTCCCATGACGCTTTCATTTGGTTTCCCAGCATCGCATTTGCTGACGTTCCGCTTCAAAGCCATGAACCCTGACTCGGACTTGGAGACTCTTGAAGCCGTTTTTTATTTTGCACGGAATCCGCAAAAGGCAGTTCTGAACTGCAGAAATGGGGGAGCTTGGTAAAGCCCGCTTGCAAGTTCACAGTGCGTCGAGCCCAACTTGGCAACCGCTTCGTTTTTTGTGCGTTTGTACTTGAAGGCACCGACCCTTTTCTTTCAAGGATACGCTGGGCCTGGTTTCCATCCATCCCAGGATCTTGCTCGCTTGCTGCCATCCCGGTGCAAGTGGATATTTGCGGAATCATTCAACAACGTCCCCCAACCTGTGCATCACAAAACAGTTTCATTCAGACCTTCCAGGCAACCCCAGCCAAGCCGGCCAGGCGCCTCATGTGAAGATCTTGTGAAGGATTTGTCCATTTCGCTTGAACAAGATAGCCCCACATCCATTTCGATTGGTCAGAGGCACTGTTCCGTTTTTGTTTTTTTTTGCAGTTTGCTTCTTTGGTTCTGTTCATTTGTAGTTGGGACGGCTGCAAAGAAGAACATGTTTTGCTGACATAAGGGTTGAGTAGTCCATCGAGGAATTTTCCGGTTTCACCCAACATCTATGGCAAACAGTTGTCTCGCTTCGACAAGGGCACTGGGAACCTTAGCATGACCAAACCGGGCGCAAAGAAACGGACAGGCCATGTGTCCGTTTGAGTTGCCTGTCCAGTCAAGGTTTTGTTTTTTCCTGCACCCAGGGATTCAACCACCTGATTGAATCGAAGTGTGACTGTCTCAAGTGTTTTCTGCACCCAGGGATTTTTTTTTCTTCAACCACCTGATTGAATCGAAGTGTGACTCGAGGAACTACTGCTTCCTGGGGAATCCGGGCACCGGCAAGACCACGGTGGCTCGCCTCTTCGCGGCAGTGCTCCATGATTCCGGGCTCCGCAGCAAGCGCCTCGCCTTTCCGAGTTGGGTCAAGAAGAGGGAATGGACCAACCAATCGAACCAATGGTTTCCCCAGCTGGTCAGTTGGGGTTGCTCTCAAGCTGGAAAGTCCATTATCCCGTCACCACTCCGGGGACCTTGGATTGTTTTGGATGAACCTGCCCTTGAGCCCGTTTGAGGTCCGGAAGCAATCGACACGTTCAGTACCGACGACAAGCGTTACTTCCATGTTGCCACTCAACCTGACAAAGGGTGGCCCCTGGTTGTACCACGGCTGCCCCCCCTGTCACACATTACGTCTCTGGATTGGGATTCCAAATTTGCCACCGGACTGAACATGGATGTCAGCAAGTATGATTTTAAGTCTATGAGTATATGTATGTCTGTATTAGATATATATATATATATGTATTTACATATATACATACACTACATTACATTAAATTACATTACATTACATTACATTACATCACATGACATTGCATTGCATTCCATTTCATTGCATTCCAGTACATTGCATTGCATTGCATTGCATTTCATTGCATTGCACTACATTGCATTGCATTACATTGCATTCCATCACATCACAGCACAGCACATTGCATTGCATTCCATCACATCACATCACAGCACATTGCATTGCATTGCATTGCATTGCATTGCATTGCATTGCATTGCATTGTATTGCATTGCATTGCATTGCATTGCATTGCATTGCATTGCATTGCATTGCATTGCATTGCATTGCATTGCATTGCATTGCATTGCATTGCATTGCATTGCATACATATTGCATTGCATTGCATTGCATTGCATTGCATTGCATTGCATGCATTGCAGACACAAGTTGGGCCTCTTGGACCTTGATAGAAGTTGGGCCTCTTGGACCTTGATAGAAGCACAACTGTGTTCCCTTCAATCCTGCAATGCTGTTGTTGGGTCATTCGTGTGGTTGAATTACCACACTCTGAAGCCTTAAACATATTTTGCATGTAAACGAGGGTGAAAATACACTGTCTCACGCCTGCCGCACAAAGCAGAGTTTGGACGTTCGATCCGCGATGAACGCGGCTTTGCAGAAACACGTAATACGCTTAAACTTTTGTTCTCATGCAGTATTTACAGCAAGATGATGCTTCGACCAACCCTCCGACAATTGCATATGTACTGATCCGGTCAGCATATCCGAAGAAGTTATAGATTTCGCCCTCCCCCCACCCCCGCTAGATGCCACCCCCCCCCCAATTCCCAAGATCAGAGTCCGAGGAACGTCTTCAAGGAGTGCGGGGCACAGAAGCTGAAGGACGACGGCATCGACGAGTTCCGGACCTCCGCGCAGGCGCCCTCCGCGGGCCCGCGGACCGGGCAGGGAGAGACCGGAGGGAGGTGTGGTCCATGGGCTTGGGGGTGTCGGGGTCCTTTTCTGCGGTTCGGCTTAGGATTTGTCTCTCGTGGCTTCCCACGGTTTCCCAGGAGGCGCTGGATGGAGTGCTCTTCATCGATGAGGTCCGGGGCTCAGTCCGTGGCCGGTACGCCCGTCGCGATCCTTGGAGTCGCAATCCTCGTTTTGCAGTGGCAGATTCGTTTCGAAGGATCGAGTCGAGTTTGATTGCTGGATGGAAGAGTTCTCTGCAAGATCTAGCAACATCTATCACGGACATTGCCATTCGAACGGCAATCCTTTGAGCTTGGAAGTAAAGGGCCCGTTGGAAGTCGCTCCCCAAGGTGATTTCAAGGTCTTGGCCAAGTTTCAGCGAGAGTTCTTTTGGGGTGATGCTGATGATGTCTAAAAGGAACATTTGTAGAGTCCCAGCTGGTTTGTATTGTTTGGCTCATACTGGCGGACAAGACATCCGTGGCTCCTGAGGCGATCCAAGTCCTTCCCTTGCAGGCTGCCAAATAGCAAGTATTGTTTATACCTCCCAAAGCAGAGCCACTTTTCCAGACTTGATAGATGACTGGATGGCTGGATGGGGATTCTCTCAGGCCTATGACCTCGATCCACTGGGCGACAAGTTCAAGGGTGCGCCCATTGTCAACGAGCTGGTGACGCTGACGGAGAACGAGAGGGCCAGATTGACCTGCATCCTCGCGGGATACGAGGAGACTCGCCAGGTTCAGACCTATGAAGGGCCCAGTTTTGACGGACGCGCGACGTGTCGGCGCGAACGGCAAAGCGCGATTTCCAGAGACCCAGGGACCCGGGCTTTAATATCTTAGGAGCCAAGAACAATGGAGCCAGGATGACATGAACAACAAGTTGTTTGCCTACAACAGCGGCCTGAAAAGCCGCTTCACGGAAGTGATCTTTGAGGATTTCGACGAGAGCGAGTTGAGCAAGCTCCCTGCCCTAGTAAGCGCTGCCAGTTGAAAGTGCAGATGTGGCCCCTCCCAGATTGACAAGTCTTGGTGAACTTTATTGGGGGTGCTCTTCCCCCGTGAAGGATCCCCTCTTTTTTTAATCAGCGGTGGGTCGCTCGCGGTAGAAATATAAGCTCAATGTGGCACGCAGTCCATTCAAGTGCACCGACACGAAACGTCTGCCCAATTTGTCGGCGTTGGCCATTGGCCCTGAGTTGGGTCTTGAAGGTGATTGCAAACATGCAACAGCCACCAAAAGGATCTCTATGACTGAAGGTCCTTGAAGCAGCAGCCCCTAAGCAGGTGGAGAGAGACAGCTTGCAACGCATCAACATCGTCAGAATTGTCTCTGTGACAGTCTGTAATCACTAGAGCCCAGGAATAAGAGCCCACTTGTTATTTAGAACACGCGTGTCCGTGAGATGTACAATTGGTTGCCGAAAAAAAAGAAAAAGAGAAAAAGACAAAAAGCCAGCCGCGCCCGTTGAGGTCGCCCAAACCGTCTCTGACTTGGAGGCCCCTCACTTCTTGAAATAAGAACAGGGTAGCCCGAAACTGCGTTTCTAAAGAACGATGATCGCTAGGAGCTCATCTAATGAACCTCGACTTGCTGACTTGCGGGTCTCGTTGTCTTGGGCTCGCGGCCACGGGAATTGTCTTTGGAACGCCTTTTTCGCTTTCTCAAGGCAACATTGGGTCCAAAAGAAGATGATGTGGCAAGGGAGGAAGCTATTTTGCCGCGCCTTGGAAGTCCCAACTCGATCCTTGCAATCCCCGCCTGATCCCAACCCAAGTTGCCTGTGGCATGAAGACAATCAATGGAGGTGCGGCATGAAGCCGAATTGTTTTCCTTCATTTAGTTGGATTCCTCCGACCCCGAAATCTTTGGGTTGGCTTCCCCCGAGTCAACTCCCAAGCCCGGGTCTCTGGATTCCTTGCCCCGAGAATTTGGGAGCAGAACATGGTGAAGCGGGGCTGGTCGGCGGAAGACCCGCGCCTCACTGCTGTGGCGGTGCGGAGGACGCGCGACTAGGGGGGCAGCGCACATGTTTGATCGGGGTCCATTTTTTTAAGGGTAGACCAAGTGAGTGTTGACCAGAGCCCTAGTTTTGCGCGTGCCTCAGACTTGGGCCAATGTGTTGGAGAGGGCTTTTCCAGGCATGTACGGTCGCCATCTTGACAACTTGGTCGTAACTGAAGGCTATTGGGGACGGTCCCCAAAGTGACGGATTCCCATACCACCCTCTGAACCAGGGCATACGCCAAAGCTGTTGCAAAGCCCGAAGGGGCGTAGTTCTTCTTCTCCAAAGTTGGGTCGCGTCCGAAGAAATGTAAGCCCCTACAAAGTCGAGAGCCCTTTGAACGAGAACCTGGTAGTTCTGAAGCGCTAAGACTAGGTTGCGAGCAGTGTCAATCCTGCCTTTCCGCAATCGACACACTGGTTGTGACGTTGGTGAACTGCGTGCGCTCTCCCAGTGTTGTTGCAACCAAATCAAGATGTGTGAGGGCCGGTTTTCTTGCCGTGGTGTTGCTGGTTTGTTTCTTTGCGCGAATTAAAGCAAGCTTACCTGGGGGTGTCAGTTGTTGATTTTTTGGTTTGGTCCTATCCCGATTTACTGGTCGGCGCCAGTTGCCAACCTGGACACAGAATTGAATCCACGTAGCAAAGGCTTGATCATCTCACTCCTTGAGGTCATCCTGAAAGGAACAACTAGGTCCCCAGTGCCCTTCTTTTACCCTTTTTTAGGCGAGGGTTCCCCTACTAAAATGGACTACAGAAAAAATCGGGTACCCTTGTTCTAACCTCTCAAATCTGGAGGACCTAGACAAAGAGTTCATGTGTTTCATCCAATTCGGAGCAAATCAGCAAGCAATTTATTTGTTTCAACCAACAGTTATTTTAATCATCCACTTAGGAACTGGGGAAGTGTAGCGTACTTCCAGCTTCGGGTGCGACCGTCGCTGGGTTTTGGGCTCAGGATCTCGAAGTCGAGGGGACAGAAGGGCTTCGGCAATGCCCGGGAGGCCGGCGAGGGGGTCGCGTGAGGCGGTGTACCAGGGTGGCTGCGAAGCTTTTTGGTTTTCTGCCTGGAGAATTCCAAGTGGGTCCAAAAACATTGGCTCCTTGTGGAATTCGCAGATTTGGTGGCACCTTGAAAGGCACCGGATTCAGAGATGGGTACATTTTGGTAGCTTTGTAGACCCCTCGGCGTTTCTTGGGGCAAGGTTTTCCATCTGTTTGTTGCCAATGCAAAGCGAGCTTCATTTTGGTGGGTTGCCTTATCCAGTCTCGCGCAGTTCAAAAAATCGCCAACGGTGATGCTTAAAAGTACAACAAGGGGACATCTAGGGAACGCTTTTTTTCACCATTGGACACGCACCACTTTTTGCAGAGCTTCACAGACCACTTCCAGCTGCCCAGAAGGGGAGATCCTATGTCACATGCGGGTGGTGCAAAGACCCTGTGTCCTTCGCTTGTCTCCTCCACTTTGTAGGTACCCCCCGCCCGGGCCCCCAAGAGGAGTTCAATCCGAACCTTTCGATCAGAACCCCTTGTAAGAAGATTCCTTCTGAACCTTTGGGGAGGTGTCTGGCCCCACTTGTCTCTGCAATACATATATATGGTAGAGGTCTGGCCCCCCCCCCCTCCCCGCCATGGTCATGGTAGCCTTAAATAGGGCCCCACCCCCCTGTGGGCCCGCTGGGTTTGCAGGTTATGGTCATCTTGCAAAAGGCCTCTTCCCCCCCCCCCCGTGGGCCCGCTGGTGGGTTCCCGTTAGGGCCAAGGCTTCGAGAGTCGTACCCCGGTCGGCGAGCGGCCACCCCCCCCCCCCAAGTGGGGGGGGGCATACCATTGGGGGGGGGTGGCCGCACGCCGACCAGAACCATATATATATATATACATGCACCCCCCCTGGATGCTGGTTTTACTGCCTTTTGGGGATGGCAAATCTAGAATGGCACAATTTATATCCTCGACCAGGGATGGCCAATAACCCGTTAACGGCCGGCCGCTTTTTGGAGTTTGGGGCCCTGTGTGTGGCCGGGAGCTCCGGGCGGGCGTTTGGTGAGGTGCGGAAGCGTGTGGAGATGGCTACGGCGCGTGCCATGAGCCGAGAGGACTGGAGCCCGGAGCAGATGCCGCACGGCAGCACTTGGGCCCCGAGGAGAATCCAACTCAGGTACGTGGCAATCGGTTGGTTTGGATTGGTGGTGGTTTGGGGGGGCACCCCTCAACTGGCGGTTTGAATTGGTGGTTGGTGGTTGGTGGTTTGGATTTGGATTTGGATTTGAAGTTCTGGCTTTTGTAAAGGGTAAATGGGAATCCAGCCTTGCGCAAATTGGTTAAACGGTTACCCCTTGTCCAATCTTGTTATCCCCTCTGTTTTTTTTTTGAGGCTCGGTGGTCTTTTTGGAATTAGCAAAAACACATCCTTGTAGAATGTTTTGTTCCCAGCATTGCACTGAGTCAGACAGGGCTGAATTGGGGAAGGATTCCGACACCTTGAATTCCTATATGGGTGTTTCTTTTTGGGGTGTACCCCTTTTTCATTTGGGAGCTCCATTTTTTTGGTGGTGGGGGTGCCTTAAAACATCACACACTCATATGGTTCCATGTGAAAGGCCAACTGGAACTCGACCAACTTAGGTACAACCGGGTTTGTTTTCAGGTATATCCCTTCGGAGGTGAAGCTCGGCTTCGCTTCAGGTTTGCAGCCTATCAACGCAGCTTGAATTCTGCGGGTTTGAGTCTGAGCTGCTGAAGACCTTTGGCTGTCCTTTACCGGATTTGCAGCTGCCACCCTGCAGAAGAATTTGGTAGGAACGCCTTCCGATATCGCAGAAGTGGCTTGCTGCAACCCTGGCAAAGCAGCCCCAAAAGGGCACCCATCCAGGCACTGCCCTCTACCAGACACAGGGCCTCCCAAAAGATGACACATCCAAACCAGGACATTATGTTGTTCACTGCGCACCTGTTGTCCCTTTTGCTCTGTAAAAAGCACCCAACTAGGGAGGGGCTTCGGCAACTACGACAGGCCGTTTTCCGGATATGTCCCCGCGTGCGATGCTTAGGCTGCTGCGCTTTGTTGATGTCATCGGGGAGGATGGGGCTGGCCAATCGGGCTTCTCCCACCTAGTGCCCTTCTTCTTTTGGAGTGGCCCTTGGCCACAAGTGGCCTTGTTCTTCCACCGGTCCGGGTGCTCGAGAGTCGGCGTAAAAAGGCCACTTTGTTGAAGCCTTGTGGCCGGGGCATGAGCGTGCTGAAGCCAGGCGCCTTGTCCAACAGACAGACTTGGCTGCATGCAGGGCGAAAGCTGGCCAGACAGTTCTGTTTGGCTCGGTATCATCGGGACTGAAGATATTTCGGGCCCTCTTTCGTTTCAGCGTCATCCTGGAAATGATTCAAAGTCAGAAACGGGGATTTCATACAACTTAGTGCATGCCTGAGAGGGTGCAAAACCACCAGAGTGGGGCAAGTCACTTAATTTAGACAAAGACACGGCCCTGGGTGCTTGCAGCTTTAAGCGCACGGCTGCCTATTGCAGGACCCGCGGGCAAATCCGAAGCTGAAAGCAGTGCTGGAGCAGATCAAGGCGGGTTTTCACGAAGGAAGTGATGTTGGCAGAGTTTTGCCCCGTGTGGTAGCTGGAGACGAGTCCCACGCAACATGATTGCCTGACCTGAAACATATCGGGTGGAGAGATGACTCGGATCCCTGGCTCAACATGAAATGATGGTCAACGCTTCAAGTGAACCATTGACACTGCCTACTACGCTTCCCAACAGGTCCAGAGGTCTCATTGAGTTCATCGTTCTTGTCTTGATGTGTGGTGGAAGTTTAGTCAACTCTTGCCGGAACGAGCAACATACTTTTATGTTGAAGTCACGAACAAAATGAGTTGGACCATCCCAAATGTGGGAGTGGATTCAACCAAGCAAGTGCCCCCCCCCCCCACCAACTCGCGATCGTTTGTGTATTAACCCTGCAGCCTACAGCCGTTTTGTTCAATCGTCCCTTCAACAGGAATTCAGGCTCTCCAAGGGCAGACAGTTGTTTTTCTCGGCCGCACCATGGGCCAGTTGCGCCTAGGCCCTGAGGTTGTGGGGGATTGACAAGCTTGTCCGAGACAGTCAAGAATGAAACATGACCATCTTTTGAGTCGCAATCTGTCCGTAGTTTCTGTTTCCAGGGGCAAAAAAGAGGGTTCCAGGGTCAAGACAAAATGGCCAAGGGCAAGCACACGAGGTCGGGGTTTGAACAATAGTTCCTCCATCGCAGCAACGCAGCTCGCCTCCAATGGGGGCCTAACACTTGGGGATGCCGTGACTTTCAAAGAAGCCAAAAAGGGCACGTCAACCTCTTAGGACGAGGAACTACATATAGCCAATCGAGTTCCCTTTCAAATTCCGGTTTCCTTACAGGTGAAGACTGGGTGGAAGAGCATCAAAAAGGCCATTGACGACCTGGTGGATGTCTGTGGGACCAACTACCAGCGGGAGCTGGATGGCCAGTCTCCGCTCCCCGTTTTCCTGAACCGCTTGTTCCTGGGGAATCCCGGCACAGGCGCTTTGAAACTGAGTCGGTCGTTGGAATTGGCCAGTCGCAGCGAGTCGCATGTCAAAGAACGTACGGCTGGCACTTGAAATTTCGGAAACTGCATGTGGGCGATGATAAGTTTCTTGGGGTAGCTCGCAGCTTAGCAAAGGGCCCTGGGTTGGTTGGTTGCGCGGTCAATGAGAGTTGGCCATGTTTGAGGGGAATGTGGTCAACATGGCATCGGCAACAGTTGAGAGGAATGGGGTTGAAGTGGAGGCCAATCATGTGACCTTTCTTTCTCCTAAAAGTGGGTATTGGTTGTGGCAGCATATCAGCGGCAATCTGGCCACCATTTGGGTGTTTCTCCAAATAGGAGGCGGGGTTTCCTTTTGGCTTCAGCTACCAGCCAAAAGGGCGGCTCACCATTTTCAGGGCTTTCAACTGGGCCCACCGGAAAACCCAGAAACTGGGGCTTCGCCGTTTAGGGGACGAACCGCTTTTCAGCTAAGTGGGCCTGAAGCTGGACCGAGCTCGCGAGACCAAAGTTTCGGCGAGGCAAGACCACCTGCGCCAAGCTCTACGGCGACGTGCTGAAGCGCCTGGGCTTTCTGAGCTCCGGGGACGTGGTCTTCAAAACCGCCGGGGATTTGGGGGGCTCCGTGGTGGGAGAGGCGGGAGGGAGCGCTGGGTGGAGGGGGATTGGGCGGGAAGGGGTGGGGTGGGTTTCAGGAGTAGGCGGGTTTTGTTGTTTCAGATGGGAGATTTCGGAAGGAAAGCCGCGATTTTGAGATCTCTCCATTTTGAGACGAGAGAGATGGGAGCCCAAGATTGGGATTCGTAACTGGAAGTCTGTGATAGAGGACAGAATCAACCACGAGATTCAAGGAAAGGTGGCGGTGTCAAGACCAGATCAGTGGCTCCGTGAGGATTCAACCAATGTTTTGGACAGGCGCCCATGCATTTTCTTGTGCTGGAATTTCAAGGCCCCATTAAAAGGAACATGGTCTTGGGCGCCTCATTTAGGTTGCGTCTATGGTTTTGGGAGGGCATGCAATGGGCCTTTGACCACCTTGGTGCCGATTTGTTGGTGTCAAGTCCAACCTCTGATGTGATTTTGGCTTCTTTTTCTTTGGGGGGGAAGCTTCCGCAGGGCTTTTCACCAAACAACATCCCCTTCAAAATGGGTTGACTGAAAGAACAGGGATTTCGATCCCTATATGTCGCACCGGCATCAAACCATTTGTGACAAGCAACTGATTTGTGTCATCCGCTTCGATCCGTTCGATGCGTTGGCCAGCTTGACCAGGCGCAGCAGAAGGTGATGTCGGTGCTTCAGCGCCTCGAGCGAGAAGTTCTGCCGTTGAGCAGCCCGCGTTTTCCCGCTGGTGTGCCTTTTCTTTTTGGTTGGGGGTGGGTAGTGGATGAGGTGCTCTTTTTGGCTGGCGCTGGTTTCGCTCAGGTCTGGTTCCCTGGCTGGCGCTGGCTGGTTGGTTGGTCGGTTGGCTGGTTGATTGGTTGGCACCAGTTTCACTTGGACCTAGTGGCAACCTGCGGCTTCCCTCCGCTTGGATATAGCCCACGGTTGGGATGCGCGAAAGCGCAAGGAAAACCGCCAGCCTTAGGCAAAAGAAGCATCTCTACCGGGGCCTGGTGGCGGAAAAAGGGGCAGGGGGTTGCGCTCCGAGCGCCCCCCCCCCCCCCCATGGTGTTTGAGCAACTCCACACTTGGACCTAGGGCCCAGGGCCTATTTGGCTCTGAATGGGTTGCAGTTGGGCGTTGCTCGAGGCTGGGTTAATTAGGGGGGTTTAGGCTGGCTTAAAGCCTTAGATCTTGCTGAGGGTGGGCATTTAGGCTCAGCAAAGGGCTGACATCCAGGCCGCTGATGGGCGGGTTAAGGATTCACTTTGGCTGGGTTTTGGGGTTTGCTTGGAGTTGAGAGTTGTGTTAGGTGTGCCGCAAAAACTCACTTGACCCGACCCGAAAGCAACCTAAGGCCGCTGGTCAGCCATAATAGCAGCTGGTGCTGCTCAGGCGTTTGTTGCATATGTTAGGAAGTATATTCCACAGCTTGCAAGCATGCGGGACCCAAACTTTGGACCAGACCCAAAAGGAGACGCTTGCTCGAATCTTGTCGGCATATTTTCCCTACTCTTATGTACTCCTTCTCGCGAGGTTGGTCCCCAAGCATTTGTGGGCTGTGTGGCTTTTGAGGTCCGCTGCTGGGAAGGTCTTGGTGATAGATGAGGCCTACAATTTGGACGACAACTTGTATGGTAAGCAGGCACACCGACACAGCGACGGACGGCCAGCCGATCGAAGCGATGGCAGCCACCAATTCATCCCCCTCGTGCCACATAGTGGTCCCAAGGTTTTGTGTGCCAAATCGTTAGACTGAGGACTGCACTGGAGTTTGTTTTCGAGTTGAAGCGGCGCGATGGATTGTGTTGCCTGGAATTGGCTGGTGTGTCATTTGAAGTCTGGAGCGCAGAAAGGTGAGTTTTGTTTGCCCCAGTCTCATAGACCATCAGCTGGAGCACTTTACAACCACAAGGGCTGGTTCATTGGGTCATTCCCTCCTTCCCTACTTGGCACCAGCAGGGTTTGTCCTGAGCCTTGCCATTTGGCTGAGCACTTCTCATAGGCCCCACTTGTTTCTTGGCGCACTTTTCTCTTGCTGCTTTGTCCAAAGGCCTAGCAGTGGTAGTTTGACTTTTTGATTCTACCCCCATCAAGAATTAGTTGGAGCACTTTAAAATAGACTTGAAGAGGGCCCTGATGTGTGATTAGGTGGGTTACAACCCCCTTTTTGGCTAGAAATGCCGACAAGGATGTTTTGTGTGAAGACATCGGTTTCTTTTGGGGGTGTGCCCAATTCCTAAACTAGAAATGGCTAGATGGTGTTGTGAGTGGGTTGCAGGTGGCGAGAAGCATTTGTTTCCGATTTGGAGCTGGTCATCCCCACTTGCCAGCGGCTTCAGGCAATGTGCCGCCTACTTTCCCGATTTTGAAGGGAAGCTCATCCCACGCACAAGTCGCGTATGAGTTACATACAGGGTTACATGCCTCTGCTGCCCCGGAACCTGGCATGTTGCAGTGCCAATCCTGGTTTTGTTGTGCCAATCAAGGGCTAATGGCAGTGTACCCTTGGTTCGGCCCGCTTGTATCCCCGTCACCGGAGAAACATACCTCCTTATTCTTGGTCGCGGCACAATGCCACAGTTTGGAGCATTGTAGCACAGAGCACCCGCAGAGGTTCTGGACGTCTTGGTGGAGAAAGTGCAAGGATCCGAGAATGACGACCTCGCCGTGCTGCTTTTGGGCTATGAGGACGCGAACAAAAAGTGGCGGGAAAAGGGCGCTCCGGTTTGGGCAAAATTGGGCTGAGCACTACCAGGATATTGTTGTGCAATATGGCCAGGATGTCGTGCTTGAATTTGCCGGACCATTGGAAGCATGTTCGAGCAGTCCCAATTCAGGGTCATCCTGCAACCAACGTCCACAGTCAAGGTTGCAGGGTCCGACAGGTACCTTTCGGATCAAGTTGGAACACATTTTCGGTCGTTGCCATGTGGCAACTGACACGGCAACTGGGAAACCATCCCACTACTCCCAGATGCAAAAAAAGCGGGGCCAAAATCAGGGTTGCTGGGTCTCCAAAACCTGAACAAGCCCCAAGGTTAGAAGATGGTGTTTTCTTTGCTTTCTGTCAGGTGTATCCTCATCCCCAGACAAAGGTCCAAAAGTGCCCAGTGCTTCCTTAGCCGTCGATGGGTTTTGGACGTGAACATTTTGTTGGGTGCTGGTTCGGGTTGTGCTTTCATTGCTTGTATACCCTTGGCTGGCTGCCACGAGCGGGTTGCACCCCACCGGTTTTTCCTTGACCCATTCGACGCCATTCGACGCCATTCGATCGCTTCGAGCAGGAGCCCATGGCGGCCATGCTGCGGAACCAGAACCCCGGCCTGGCGCGGCGCTTTCCGCTGGACATGGCCTTCCGCTTCGAGGACTACACGGACCAGGCCGCCCGCCCGCGCGCCCGCGCCCGCGCCCGCGAGCAGTTGGTGAGGGGTGGATTGGGCGGGTTGCGGTGGGGGCGAGGTGAAGAAGGACACGGAATTTGATGCTTTTGTTCTGGGTGGGGGGTTGTTACGGGGTTGCCAAAGTTCCATGCCCATGAATGAGACATTGTTGTGGGTATGCCGCCTTCTAAGCAAAAGCGCGATTCCGGCAAGGGGTGACGAAGTGCTCATGGGGATGTCCCACTTAAGGGTTGCTTTGATCATAATGCAGAACTAACGAAGCAAATCAGAGGGATGGCCCCATGTCATCCAGTTGCTGTATGGCATGTTGAGTAACCCCCAAGAGGTTTTGTCACGCGAGCCATATCTTGACGATGTACTTGAAAGGTGTTATTGCACAACTGGGCCACCACAGGGTCAAGAGTGCAAGACCTGAGAGCTATGCAACAGGATTGTCGGGTGCATACGGATTTTTTTGGGAGCAGAGGTTAATGCGTTTTTTTTTTTTTTTTTTTTTTTTTTTTTTTTAAATCTCTTATTTTTTTGAGTATGGATCAGCGGCAATATTCCTGTTGACTGTTTTCTTTTCCTTCAATGTTCCTGAGCGTGTACATACTGGCCTTGCTGGCATTTCTGGGTATCTCTGGTGTGTGTGTGTTTTCCACACTTAGTTGCGATCGCTAGTTTAGACAGGTTTCCACATCTGTCCAGCGACTTCCCTGTTTGTCCGGTGTGGGAACACTGCAAGCCGAGTATGGTGACAATTTGGTTGGTGTACCTGAAGTGTGCCATGTGGGGTGGGCTAGGAGACAAACCAGTAAACCCGAATTGGCAATCTTGGTGGTTCAATCTGGTTCTCTGGGGTCATAAGGCCGACAGAAGCCTTAAGCAACACAAAGACATGGGATGGCCAAGCCAATCATCGGCCCCTTGTTTCCAAGGACTATGGCTCGCCCAGGTACCTGCTGTGTGTATATGTCTTCCCTTGCGAGTAGTAAAGCTGGCAGAAACTGAGGCTCGCCCCGACTTGCAAGATGTAAACCTGGCAGCTTCTTTTCCAGTTTTTCCCCGGTCAGCTTGGAGGAGCTCCATCAGATCCTGCGGAAGAACTGTCAGCAGAAGGACGTAAAGCCAAGCTCGGTCTTTCAGGAGAAGGCCGGGGGCCCACAGCCGGCTTGGAGCCTCCAAGAACATGAGCGTTCCAGGCTCGAAATTGGGCATATCTAAGATTCGCAGGCCTCTCAGATCATTCGAATGTAGGCACTGCACCATTTCGTTTCTCGGATTCCATGTCCAGCCGCGTTGAAACGGCGTGACAGCGCGTGATTTAGCCTGATGTGGTCTCGATTGGGGTGATTCTCGAACTGCGTTCACGCATGTGGGTAAATCACAGGGTAAATAACGCAAAACAAATATGGAGTGTTTGGGATTCATCCGCAGGCCATGATCAAGCTGGACATGCTCCGGAGGAGCAGTTCCAACTTTGGGAACGCCGGGGCGGTCGAGAACTTGCTCAAGGCTGCCATGCTCCTCGGCCGAGACGAGCAGGCTTTCGCCGGCTGAGGCCGAACCCTTGGTTCAAGATACACGTCTCGCCATCAACCTGGGAGGCTGATCGGACTCTCGAAGGACTTTCTTGCCAGCCCCAGACCTCCAAGGAGATGGACTTTCCTCCCTGTTTCGGAGGTGGAAAACGCTTTCAAATCAACCGTGACCATTTGTTTGAGTTGTGGGTGCAGATTGAGGGCTCCAGACATCCACGTGTTTTGCATCGAGCCTGGATAATTGGAAGCCGTGTTTTGGGACCCTCTCTGGCATCATTGTACCAGCCACCTGGGACAAGGCCATCCGGCATAAGCAGCGGTTGTGGCCATATCCTGTCACCTCTTTCTTGTCAGTTGTGGCTGCCCTTGATGTCATTCCAAATCACTTCATGCCTTCGAGGATAGTTGCAGCGGACATGAGGACTCGAAACCGGGAACGCGTGGAGCAAGTTCTCCAAAACCCTGCAACAGACTGCAATATCACAGTCCCTCCTGAGCAACTGGAAACACAAGCAGCCTGATTTACATGCGCGGAGCACTGCATTCTATGGAGAGACTAATTTCAATTCTTGGGCATACCTGCAGAGATTCGACGAGAAAGACCCTTAGATAAAGCGCTCTTGCCCTATCCAGTAGATCCAGACCAGGCACTAGAGTAGGTGGCTTACATGATGGTTTCAGATTTGCTGCCTTCGTTTTGAGATCTTTGGGGCTTGCCTGGAAGTGCTAGGCCCTTTCTGGGCCTCGATAGCTCAGCTTGAGCGCGGTATCTAGTTCGCTTCCTGCCTGGTGTCATGTGGTTCGTCAATGATAATAGCAACGCCCACACGAGCCTCAATGAACCATGTTGGCCGGACCAAATGTAAGCCGTTGGAGATGGGTCGCCAGGCCTTTGATCACACGATTGACCGAGTAGGTGACGTCCCCTGTTGGGCAATGACTATCCTTTTGCGGGAGGAGTGTTTGGGGCTGGTTGGATGGCTGAGTTTGTGCAGGCACGGGAAGAAGCTTTGGTTCCAGCGAGTGGCTTCACCTCAGAGCACACGTGGATGATTGGGGGTAAATCGACCTCTTGATTTGCTGGGAGAAAAACCTAAGACTCCACCCTTTGAAAGGTTCACAAGGAACCTTGCGAGATTGGGCTCTGAGGGGTCTGAGAACCCTTCTGGGAGGTTGGGATGTCTGCCTTGATGCCTCTCCTGAGCCTAAACAGACTTGACGGCAGTTGGGTCATTCACTGACTTGTGCTCAGCGACCGGAATGCTTGAATCCGTGCCTCAGGCTGAAGGCTTCCGCTCGAGGCGCGGGGGGTAAGTTGAATAGCTGGCCCCGGCTCCTCGTCCATTCCTTTTTCCATCCCTTTGGGCGTGTCTCTCTTGAGAACATCCGGCTCTCAAACAGGAACCCCCATGTTTGCATTGGGAAGCCCGAATGAGTGCGGTTCTCTTTGTAGTTTCTTAGCCGCGCGGGACTGCTCACGGATGATTCGGGTAAGTCGTAACTGACTTGTTTTGCGCTTACCTGATTTCTTGTGCAAGAACACTTGCAGGAAGGCGTCATGTCATCCGTTCAACTTCCGTGGTCCCCTTTGAACACGGCGTTCTTTGATTGGAGCAGACGATTATTGTGCCATGCAATGTCGGTGCGGCGAGATGTTGGAAGCAGGAAGGACAACCGAAACTCCAGAAGCAGAGCCCTGGAAGAGCACAGGCTGAGTTAGAACGGAGGGTCAGAGGACCTTCCACACACCATCTCCTTGCGAAAGAACACTGATGCATCCAGCAAGGATTATGTTGGAAAGGGTCGGGGGGTGTTCCAAAACGGGACCAGGACAGCCATGAAGAGACAATGGCTAAAGGGCAGACAAAAGGGCTATGAGTCTTAATGTGGAACCACCTCACCACCACAGGGTCCGCAGATTATGATTCATTCCGGAATAGACAAGTTCTCAACGCCTGAAACGATTCGATCGCTCGCTTCCGGCAATCGGCAGGTCATGCGCTGCAGCTCGAAGCGTGCGACATTGACCTGGGCGATGAGGGTGCGGAGGCGAGAGAAGACAATCCTGCTGATCGAAACCTCACAAGTGTTTGCATTGAAGATTCCTTTCAGGGTCTCCATTTCTCGCAATTCAGGGTGGTGAAGTCAAACATGCCCAGAGGATATGTACACTTGTAGCGAGCTCCCCAGATGTGGATACACCCAGATGAAGGTTTCTTATATAGGGATTGCTTAATTCAGATTGGTTTACCAAGTGCAGTCGATATCCTATGGAAAGAAACAGCACTGGCCTTGCCCAACCACAATTTCACAGGCAACACATTCTACCACAGGCAACTGGGCCGGCTGGGGTCAAAGCAGCAGTGCAAGAAAACTGGCACTCGTGATTTTGTGGTACTGCAGTGCCTTCTGTCCAAACGACGCCGATGCAGCCATCAAGGATTGGAAAGGAAAGTCCCAAGAAACTGGCAATGGCATATATAAAACGATGCCATCAGATGTGCGCACCTCGCATTTTGCCCCAGCAGTGGTTTTCGTGAGGAGAACGTGCCGCTTGTCCGTTGCCATTGCAGGACCCGTTCGGGCCCTTGGATGAGCTCTACCGCATGGACGGTGTCAAGTGGCTCGGCGAGGGAGAATTGGCAAAAGCCGGGCCCCGGTGAAGAACTAGCCTGCTTCGGCGTCATTTCGCACTACAAAGAGGGACAGGGTGCAAAAGGATCGCAAGTGGTCAACACCCCCCAAGCTGGTCTAGGCCGCGCAAGGCGTTCCCGCATTTGTTCCCGCCTGAAACACGAGTTGTTTCCAGGCCGGCGCCAGAAGCAAGCAAGTCACGCAAGCAGGAAGGACAGTTTGCAACCCCGTGCAAGAATCAAGGCTTTGACAGGGACCTGAAAAGTGAAGCCAAGTTTGGTGTTGTTCGAGTTTTAACGTTTCAACTGGTTTGGTGTCGCTCGACGAGTTGGGTAACATTGAAACGCCCTGCTAGAAGCGCAATCAGAGCGGAGGCAGAGGCTGCAGCAGATGAGCAACGCCTTTGCCGTGGCACAGAAGGAGTACCCGCCAATTCAAAGTCTGCGATCGAAGGTCTTGACTGGGATCTTTTTGTTTCTAAGCTTTTTAAAGGTTCACCAGCTGTGGACAGAACTGTGAGACATGGTATTCAGTTGGGCGCAGAAGCTGAGGTAGTTGCAGCAGGACATTGGATCATGTTGGAATTCGTACCCATTTGCAAGATTCCCATCGACTCTTGGGCCCGAGCACCTGCGGGAATCAGCGACAGCAGCAACAATTTCGTGCTTGGCTTTTTTCGAGTCCCTGGTCGTGGACAGGGAACATGGTCCATTTCTGATTGCGGCTTAGCGCAAACGCATCCCAAAACCCAACAACGGCAGGGTTTGGAGGTGCGAATTTAGTCTTGCAGTCTGGTCTCAAGGTTGTTTTGGGGGTCCCCTTTCTGGGTGCAGAAACCACAAGGACACCGACCATGTTGGGGGTACTTTGAGAACCGTTCCAACAATCCAGGCTCCGAATATGTTCCGTTTGTGTGGTCGCGTTTTTTTTTTGAAGCGACTTTGTGGTTTAAAGGGAAAGGAACAGGAAAGCCGTTGCGCCATGCTGGGTCCCATTCCCAAAAAAAAGACGAGCCCGTCGCAGTCGACTCGGCTGTTTCAGGAGGGCGCAGAGTGCCCGGAGCTGGGCCACTTCGTGTTCACCGGGGCGCCGGGCACCGGCAAGACCACCGTGGCCCGCGTCATGGCCAGGCCCAAAAACGGGTCCCGCGACTGCGGGCCCCGCGCCCCGAACGAGGGGCCAAAGAAGCGGACGGTTTGACAAGGCGGAAAAACACACACAAGTCACACAGGGCAGCAGTATGCACAAAAAAGATCGGGGTGTCTGGCGCAGTGGAAACTACATTATTTTTAGCTGTAAGGTGCGGCCTCACGTTGGGTCTTGAACTTGGTTGACCGGCACTGCCGCTCGCAATGTGTTGTTTCGCAGCCAGGATTCTTTTCCAGCTCCGTCTTCTACCAAAAGATCACGTTCAAGGACAGCCGTTGAGATGTTTCGCTTTGGGCAGGGCATTGCTATGAGCTGCTTGAGAGCTAGAAATTCACCTAGGTTCGCACTCAGTGATTTTGACAGGAATAGCATAGCTGTAAAGCGGACCACTATTCACAGCCACTGGCTTCAAGGACAAATCAAGGGTTGATCAGCTTTCCTGGATTGACAGAGGGACGAGTATTTTTGTTTTTCCGACTTCCCTTGTTGAATTGTGCGCATAACCCAAAGGGAATCAATCTATGAGATCTCCTTTTGGGGACAATTAGTGCCTTCTTAATGTGCAGAACTCTGCAGAAGCTTGCTTTGGTGCAGATCACCATGGAACCCAAGTGCCTAAAATGATTCCTCTAAAGATGAAGCTCTTTGGCGTTCCATGTCAATCGGGAGAGCCAATCCGCTATCCTGCGCAATGCCTGCTTTCATGTTGACTCACTTGTCTATGAACATGTAGCTGCACCTTCCCAGAATAGGCTGCTCATGTGTCAGTCAAACCTTCGCTCTTCTCAGGTTCCAGCCATTTCTTGGGAGCGTGTCGCAAAAACGCTCCCAAGAACTTCGCCCAGTGGTACCTTGCTCCGTACGCAACTGGCCTAGCACAGGCTTGTCCCTTTCGCTCTGTGCGCCAATAAGCAATCCAATTTTTGCTCCACTTGACTGGACTTAGAACTGCAGCCTACATCCATCTTAGCATGTCTTAGCCAACAGCGAATGGACACCCAAGGGATTGAAATGCGCAAACCCACCTGCCAAGCCCAGCGTAGAGCTCCCTTGCATAACAATCGCGTCAGAGCGGTCCAAAAGGAAACTGAAAGGAACCATTGGAGCGCATCTTTATGAGTGGATGCCGCAGGCAAAGGTTTTTTGCCGATGGGGCACTGGGCGTGCGCGACATATCCGGCCAGAAACATCCGGCCTCAATCTCACGGGTGAGTACGTGGGGCAAACCAAGAAAAAGGTGGAGGAGCAGTTGGAGGCACGACCCAGTGGAATGTGAAACCGGACAGTTGCTTTTATGCGAGCCAACTTGAAACCAGAGTCTGGCAAAACTAGCGGCTAGCTTTTGCACTTCCATGGGGACAGTCACTGACACGCTTCTGTTGGATGTTGGGAAGAGCAGGCGTGTGCCCGACTATGCTCTGGACTGACATTGGGGTTGAGAAGACATTCAATTTGCTGTTGGTGTGGCACATTGAGGAAGAGGACAACAAATCAAGTAGGTTATTCCTGCGCGAAACCTTCCGCGATCCCCCCTACCCCTCAAAAGACACTTTTTGATGGAGACCTGGCCTTTGACGCCAGTTCAAAAATGTCCAGTCGCAAAAAACCACCGCATCGGCCATCGACTCCAACGATTGTGCTCCTGGACCCTGAAAGCAAGACAGTATCCTGCGATTCCTGTACTATGGCACTAGGTCCATCTTCCCATCTGGACTGCGGTTTTTGGGCGTAAGTTATTGGGAGCCTGAGGACACATTCTGCCACCCTTGGAGAGTTCGACCCTTTTGCCTCTGCATTTGGTGTGTTGTGTTGTGTTGTGTTGCATTGTGTTTGTTTGTTGGTGTGCTTGTTTGTTTGCTTGTTTGATTGCTTGTTTTGTTTGTTTGTTTGGTTTGTTTGTTTGTTCGTTTGTGTGTTTGTTTGCTTCCTTGCTTGTCTGTTTGTCTGTTTGCTTGCTTTGGCTGTTTGCTTGATCTTGTTTGTTTGTTTGTTTGTTTGTTTGTTTGTTTGTTTGTTTGTTTGTTTGTTTGTTTGTTTGTTTTGCTTGCTTGCTTGCTCGTTTGATTGCTGAGATTGCTGGTATGTTTGCTGTCTTTGTTTGCTTGTTTCTTTTTTTCCTTGTTTTTGCGTGCTTGTTTGTTTGCTGCTTGTATGTTTGCTTGCTTGCTTTTGCTTGTTTGTTTGATTGATTGTTTTTTCAATGTATTTTTGGCTTGCTTGCTTGTATGTGTGTTTGTTTGCTTGTTTGCTTAGTTGTTTGTTTCTTTGTATGTTTGCCTGCTTGTTTTCTTGCTTGGTTGTTTGCTTGTGTGCTTGCTTGCTTGCTTGTGTGCTTGCTTGCTTGCTTGCTTGCTTGCTTGCTTGCTTGCTTGCTTGCTTGCTTGCTTGCTTGCTTGCTTGCTTGCTTGCTTGCTTGCTTGCCTGCTTGCTTGCTTGCTTGCTTGCTTGCTTGCTTGCTTTCTTGTTTGCTTGCTTAATTGCTTGTTTGCTTGCTTGCTTGCTTGCTTGCTTGCTTGCTTGCTTGCTTTCTTGTTTGCTTGCTTGCCTGTTTGTTCGCTTGCTTCTTTTTGGTGTCACGGCCTCTCGTGTCTCCTGCATCTGCCACATCCTTGAAAAGAGACGCTCAAAGGCCACAATTCTCCGTCGGCTTAAGTTTGCAGGCAGGTTTGTTCGCTCGTCCTGAGCTGGAGCCATGGCCATAAACGATTCGTCCCGAGCTCCTATAGGTGCAGCTGAAAGAATGCTTGACTTGACCACAGGTATGGCTAGCCTTTTCCAGGGTAACATTGATGCTGATTGAGCTTTGGCGCAGCGCAACCGTTTCTGCGCGGCAGCTCATCGCGGGCGTAGACACAGCTCAACTGGATCACCGTGTGCGTGCTGAGCATTGCCGGCCTCCACGAACGTTTCTTCCAAGGCGAATGAAAGAATCTCATCTAAACAGGAGGCCATGCCGAGAGAAGGCGAGGATGAGAGTGCCAGGCCCAGAGAGCCGCTGCTGCCGGCTACTCGTCTGCTTGATAGCTGCCCGCATCGCTGTCCATGACTTTGTCCTCGTCATAGCTATGAAGTATGGCAGCGTCGAAGCCCCAAGCCGAACTTGTCGCCTGCGCCACGCCGTGTATGCCGCGCTTTGAGAGCCTGTTGCCACACAATGTCGAGCTGGGTGCCAGCCAGGTACGTCTCGCGCTTGGTGTTCTTGGTGCGCGAGTTGTAGTGGCCTTCGTGAACCACGCCGTAAATGGCCACAAACTCTTCTTGTTTGTCCAGATTCGTGGGGCAAAAGAAGCTCGCCTGCTACGTGGGGGCATCGCACGTGCTGTTTCAGTGTTTTCTGACTCGGACACGGTTTTGGTTTTTAGGGTTTGCAAAGAAGCAGGAGTCTCCAAAAGCCGTGATACAGTTGTGTTTGTCTGGTTGTTTGCTTGGTTGTGTGTTTGTTTCTTTGTTTGCTTGTTTGTTTGCTTGATTGTTTGTTTGTGTGCTTGCTTGCTTGCTTGCTTGTTTGTTTGCTTCTTCGCATTGCTTGTTTGCTTGTTTGCTTGTTTGCTTGTTTGCTTGTTTGCTTGTTTGCTTGTTTGTTTGTTTGTTTTCTTGCTTGTGGCTTGCTTGTTTGTTTTGTTGTTTGCTTGCTTGCTTGTTTGATTGATTGTTTGCACGTTTGTTTGCTTGGTTGTTATCTTGTTTGTTTGTGTGCTTGCTTGCTTGCTTGCTTGCCTTTTTGCTTGCTTGCTTGCTTGTTTGCTTGCTTGCTTGTGTTTTTTTTTTGACCGCTAGACTGCTTGTTGCTTGCTTGTCCTTGCTTGCTTGCTTGTACGTGGAATTGTTGTTTGTTTGCTTGCTTGCTTGTTTGATTGTGGGTTGCGTGTCTTTTTGCTTTGTTGCTAGCTTGTTTGTTTGTGTGCTTGCTTGCTTGCTTGCTTGCTTGCTTGCTTGCTTGCTTGCTTGCTTGCTTGCTTGCTTGCTTGCTTGCTTGCTTGCTTGCTTGCTTGCTTGCTTGCTTGCTTGCTTGCTTGCTTGCTTGCTTGCTTGCTTGCTATTTGACTGCTAGACTGCTTGCTTGCTTGCTTGCTTGTTTATTTGACTGCTAGACTGCTTGCTTGCTTGCTTGCTAGTTTATTTGACTGCTAGACTGCTTGTTTGCTTGCTTGTCCTTGTTTGCTCGCTTGTATGTGGAATTGTTGTTTGTTTGTTTGTTCGCTTGCTTGTTTGTTTGTTTGTTTGTTTTGCTCGCTTGCTTGCTGTTTTTGCCTGCTTAATTCTTTGCTTGCTTGCTTACTTGCTTGCTTGCTTGTTTGCTTGCTTGCTTGTTTGCTTGCTTGTTTGCTTGTTTGCTTTCTTTTTGGTTTGTTTGTTTGTTTGTTTGTTTGTTTGTTTGTTTGTTTGTTCGTGTGTGTTTTGTGTGCGTGTTTTGTTCGCACCGCTGCGTGACGGCCTCTCCTACAGCGTCCTGCCTGCATGCCTGCTCCGTTGAAATAAGAGCGTCAGCATGCTGGCCAGTGACAACACCTTGCCCATGGCACAGGCATCGTGTCCTAGTTGTGTTCGTTTCGACGTTTGCCAGAAGTTATTCCAAGGTTCACGAAATGTGTTTGTCATACGCGGTGCCAGAATGTGAACATCAGAGTCTTCATTGAAGCAAGCGCTGAGGTCATTCAGTGCGCTCCAATCTTCCCCCACGACTCCAATCAACCCAGTGCGGAACGTTTAGTCCCCGATCCATCATGCCAGCTCCTGGCTAGGATTGGGGTAGCGCAGAGTTGCCGCTTTGGGCCAGATGTCTCAGGCCGCCAAGGGCGGGGTGCTCTTCATCGATGAGGCCTACGAGTTGGGCAAGGGGCCGTTTGGCGCGGAGGCCTGTACCTCCATCGTGGCGGCCATGACGGACCCCAAGTACCGAGGCGCCGAGTCGGATACGTGAGCGACAGGTCGGTTCGTCGTGTGTGGGGGGAGCAAAAGCGGCGTGGCAAATGTTTCATGGAGGGGGCATGGCTTCGGGGCAAATTCAGTTTGTCCAAGGGTCAGTGTGGTTTTTGAAAATGGTTGCCTTCGTGTTTTGGTGGATATGCAATGTGAAGTCAGCACTGGAGTGGAAGAGCACAACTGCATTTAAAGCAGCTGATGTCCCGCAGCCTCCTTGTGTACCATGACGCAGATGTGGTTGGTCCCATAGTAGTGAACGGCAAGTCATGAGCAGTAGGACATAGGATGGACCTGCATTCGTTCAGTATCTGCAGAGTGTGCAAGAAAACCAAATGGTTGATTCCGACCTGGGTGAAGACGCCTCGTTGATTCCATGTATTCCATGAGTCATATTCAGCATGCAGGCAGCACCAATTACTGTCCATCTATGACGGGTTGTGGGGTGTTTGACAGATGTATGGGCACCAGAAGCAGCACTTGCACAATCAGCCCACTTTATATCTGCTGCCTACCTCTTTTGGGAAGAGTTGCATGAACTACAGACGCCTTTCTGGATCATTTTTCCAACAAATGTGTGTCAGAGTGTTGTGTGTTGAAGCACCTGTAGAATGTACTGGCACCGGGAACCAAAATCCATCATCGCCATTGAGCACTTACTGCACTATTATACTGTCTTGCCTGTTATTCGCACGAAGCACTGAAACATTGCGGACGCCCATCGGGCAGTATCATGATATGTTTGGTTGACTTCCATCCCCCCCACCCGCGGTCTTGCGGGGGTGTAACAAGCTGCTTGTTTACATTGGATGGCAATTTCAGCTTCAAGCATGCTGCTGATACCTGACGGCAGTCTCAAGATCTCCATCCTTGGTCCAAAAGAAAGCCGCAGCCCTCCTGTGCTGCGTGCCTTTCAGCTCCAATCGCAGTCATTGCATTCCGCGCCAAGGGCGACCAAAGTTTGGGCTAACGTGTCCATGAGCAAAGGTGGTCCTTTCCGGTCTGCGCCAACTTTGGTTTCCCCGAAGTTACCCCCCCAAAAAAAACAACAACAACAAGAAGTCAAAAAACAAAAACAAAGCAAAGCTCAGGCGTGGTCATCATCATCGCGGGGTACCCGGGTGACATCAACCAGATGTTGGACACCAACCCCGGGCTCAAGAGCCGCTTCACCCACTTCATTCCCTTTGAGGACTGGGCGGCGGAAGATTGCCTCCACCTCTTCCGAAAGAGAGCGCCTTGGCTCAGAGACGGGGGGAAGGAGCTCAAGATGTAGGTTCTGCACTTGGTATCCGAGTCTCTTTTCAGTCAGGTTTTGGAACTGTTGTGAAATGTGCAGATGGTTGTGGGAAACACGGTTTTTGGGGTCCATGTCCGTTCCTAAAAAGTAGTCATGATGGGAGTCCCATGTTGATGTCACAGAGAAAGGGCGATTTTCCGCCACTATGTTCAGAAAACAACGGGACCGGTTGGAAAGCTTTCGGACTTGGGTCAAGGTGGGAGGTGACTTGGGGGACTTGCCAGTTCTCATGGCCAGAGGTCCACCCAAAAAAGTGTGCCGCAGGCCTCCCGGAAAGTCCCCTGAGTACCTGGGATCGCCGGGATCGTCGCGTCTGGTTGGGATCCAGGTGGAGTCTGGTTCTCCGAGATCCAACGAGTTTCCGCACGTGGGAAAGCGCCGTTGAGATTTTTCTTGGTGAACTGTTCAGTGGAAAGGCCGCGGTCGTCAGATATTTTGTTTCGTGCTAGCCAAAGATGGTGTCACCCACATGCTCAACGGAGAAGTGCAGATATTCTGGCATGTAAAAGTGTTTCCTCAGAAAGCGTGCACTGGGCCTGCCGCCTCGGTTTCATGAACCCTGAGGAGTGAAAATTGCTGCCTTTCAAGGTGCCTGTGATTGATTTGGCGCTCAATGCAATGCGGATGCGCTCCACAATTGGTAGCTTTCTTGGCTTGGAGTGATGGGCCCGAGTTCAAAGAAGCAGTAGCACAGTGGCCAACTTGCTCAAACCGAACGGGGCATTGGTCGAAGCCTACGGTCCCAATGACTAGGTTGATTGGAAGCTCGCTCAGGCCTGCATACATGCAGGGATGACATGGCAAACATGCAAAAAAATCCGCAGTGTCCCCACGGTTTGTATCAAGCACGCAAAACCTGAAGCTGTATCTTGTTACTTTGTGCGCTGTTCGCTGAACTAAGAGTATGCTTCTCCAAAACTTAGTTACCGCTTAACCGGCACCGAGCGCATTGTTCATGTTTGAGCGGCAAGCCACATGCCACCAAGCGTGAAAAGGAGAAAGAGGCAGACGGTCAAAAGGCTTGGGCCATCCAAACGGTCGGTGTCATTCGGGGGCTCCCTGTGTCAGATCGAAGCTTCTCATGTTGAACTCTCTTTGAGTTGAGATTTACAGGGACACCGAAAGGAAGCCAAGAGGCGACCACACCACATCGGATGGTGAGACACTTACGTGGAGTTTTTTCGGGAGCCGGCGACTGCTCCGGCTCAGAATCCCAACCTGCAAACCGCAAGCGATAGGGACCACCTCAATAAACCCTGAGGGTGTCAGGGTTCAGTTTTTTCCAGCTTCCTGTTTCATCTCCTCAAGGGATCCCCCAGAAATACATGCCATGCTTTCTCTTGAAGCGACTAGGGAGTACCTGCAGGCGGCCAAGGGGAACTACGCCCTGCCTGAGGCAGCCGCCCAAGCCCTGCAGGATGCGATGCGGCAGAGAACAGGGGCTGGTTCCTTTTGGACGTATTTCCATTTAAACACAACTACAGAGAAAGAGTGCGCTTTGTTCCCATGGCGACTGGGATGTGGGTTTTGAGTTGGATCTTCAATCTTCAGCTTGTGCGGGGAACGCCATTTTGCCACGAAGCTGCAAGAAGTCAAGCTTTTCGGGGCAGCGGGCAATAGGCATCAAGAAAGAGGACGAGAAGATGAAAGCTAAACCAATCAAAACCCGGGTAGATGAAGGTTAGTAGGGGACAATCCCAGCCAAAAACAGCTGCGGATATCCGGCTTTGTATTTCCTTACATAGTTCTGGGTCAACCATCTTAATACCGGGTTTTGAGCAAACTGGGGATGATGTCAACACTCGAAGGTTCACTGACGGAGATCTCCCAAGCTCCAAGCTCCCAAGCTCAGCTGCAAGCTTCCCATTTTCGGGAAGGGACTGCCCTGGTTGCCACAAAATTGGTGAGTAGTCAACGGTGTTATATATATATATATATACATATATATGTATGTATATATATATGTATGTATGTGAAGTACCGTCAGCAGTACGTCTGTTGAGTTTAGTATTCGGTGTTTCATTGATATTGTGAACATGCACAAAACCATGGCAAACGATAGGCGACTCTCAAGAAGACGATCCCCCTGAGAAAGGATGGAAGCGCTGGAAAACGATAGGGGACTCTCAAACGAAGTAGCGAAACGGCCGTAAGTAAGCAATTTCGACCGTGCCTCAGTTGTACAGATGTATGTATGTATGTATGTAATGTATGTATGTAATGTAATGTAATGTAATGTAATGTAATGTAATGTAATGTAATGTAATGTAATGTAATGTAATGTAAATGTAATGTAATGTAATGTATGTAATGTAATGTAATGTATGTAATGTATGTATGCATGTATGTGTATGTATGTATGTATGTATGTATGTATGTATGTATGTATGTATGTATGTATGTATATGTAATGTAATGTAATGTAATGTAATGTATGTAATGTAATGTAATGTAATGTAAATGTAATGTAATGTAATGTAATGTAATGTAATGTAATGTAATGTAATGTAATGTAATGTAATGTAATGTAATGTAATGTAATGTAATGTAATGTAATGTAATGTAATGTAATGTATGTATGTATGTATGTATGTATGTATGTATGTATGTATGTATGTATGTATGTATGTATGTATGTATGTATGTATGTATGTATGTATGTATGTATGTATGTATGTATGTATGTATGTATGTATGTATGTATGTATGTATGTATGTATGTATGTATGTATGTATGTATGTATGTATGTATGTATGTATGTATGTATGTATGTATGTATGTATGTATGTATGTATGTATGTATGTAATGTATGTATGTATGTATGTATGTATGTATGTATATGTATGTATGTATGTATGTATGTATGTATGTATGTATGTATGTATGTAATGTATGTATGTATGTGTATGTATGTATGTATGTATGTATGTATGTATGTATGTATGTATGTATGTATGTATGTATGTATGTATGTATGTATGTATGTATGTATGTATGTATGTATGTATGTATGTATGTATGTATGTATGTATGTATGTATGTATGTATGTATGTATGTATGTATGTATGTATGTATGTATGTATGTATGTATGTATGTAATGTATGTATATGTATGTATGTATGTATGTATGTATGTATGTATGTATGTATGTATGTATGTATGTATGTATGTATGTATGTATGTATGTATGTATGTATGTATGTATGTATGTATGTATGTATGTATGTATGTATGTATGTATGTATGTATGTATGTATGTATGTATGTATGTATGTATGTATGTATGTATGTATGTATGTATGTATGTATGTATGTATGTATGTATGTATGTATGTATGTATGTATGTATGTATGTATGTATGTATGTATGTATGTATGTATGTATGTATGTATGTATGTATGTATGTATGTATGTATGTATGTATGTATGTATGTATGTATGTATGTATGTATGTATGTATGTATGTATGTATGTATGTATGTATGTATGTAATGTATGTATGTATGTATGTATGTATGTATGTATGTATGTATGTATGTATGTATGTATGTATGTATGTATGTATGTATGTATGTATGTATGTATGTATGTATGTATGTATGTATGTATGTATGTATGTATGTATGTATGTATGTATGTATGTATGTATGTATGTATGTATGTATGTATGTATGTATGTATGTATGTATGTATGTATGTATGTATGTATGTATGTATGTATGTATGTATGTATGTATGTATGTATGTATGTATGTATGTATGTATGTAATGTATGTATGTATGTATGTATGTATGTATGTATGTATGTATGTATGTATGTATGTATGTATGTATGTATGTATGTATGTATGTATGTATGTATGTATGTATGTATGTATGTATGTATGTATGTATGTATGTATGTATGTATGTATGTATGTATGTATGTATGTATGTATGTAATGTATGTATGTATGTATGTATGTATGTATGTATGTATGTATGTATGTATGTATGTATGTAATGTATGTATGTATGTATGTATGTATGTATGTATGTATGTATGTATGTATGTATGTATGTATGTATGTATGTATGTATGTATGTATGTATGTATGTATGTATGTATGTATGTATGTATGTATGTATGTATGTATGTATGTATGTATGTATGTATGTATGTATGTATGTATGTAATGTATGTATGTATGTATGTATGTATGTATGTATGTATGTATGTATGTATGTATGTATGTATGTATGTATGTATGTATGTATGTATGTATGTATGTATGTATGTATGTATGTATGTATGTATGTATGTATGTATGTATGTATGTATGTATGTATGTATGTATGTATGTATGTATGTATGTATGTATGTAATGTAATGTATGTAATGTAATGTATGTATGTATGTATGTATGTATGTATGTATGTATGTATGTATGTATGTATGTATGTATGTATGTATGTATGTAATGTATGTATGTATGTATGTATGTATGTATGTATGTATGTATGTTGTATGTATGTATGTATGTATGTATGTATGTATGTATGTATGTATGTATGTATGTATGTATGTATGTATGTATGTATGTATGTATGTATGTATGTATGTATGTATGTATGTATGTATGTATGTATGTATGTATGTATGTATGTATGTATGTATGTATGTATGTATGTATGTATGTATGTATGTATGTATGTATGTATGTATGTATGTATGTATGTATGTATGTATGTATGTATGTATGTAATGTAATGTAATGTATGTATGTATGTAATGTATGTATGTATGTAATGTAATGTAATGTATGTATGTATGTATGTATGTATGTATGTATGTATGTATGTATGTATGTATGTATGTATGTATGTATGTATGTATGTATGTATGTGTATGTAATGTATGTATGTATGTATGTATGTATGTATGTATGTATGTATGTATGTATGTATGTATGTATGTATGTATGTATGTATGTATGTATGTAATGTATGTATGTATGTAATGTATGTATGTATGTATGTATGTATGTATGTATGTATGTATGTATGTATGTATGTATGTATGTATGTATGTATGTATGTATGTATGTATGTATGTATGTATGTATGTATGTATGTATGTATGTATGTATGTATGTATGTATGTATGTATGTATGTATGTATGTATGTAATGTATGTATGTATGTATGTATGTATGTATGTATGTATGTATGTATGTATGTATGTATGTATGTATGTATGTATGTATGTATGTATGTATGTATGTATGTATGTATGTATGTATGTATGTATGTATGTATGTATGTATGTATGTATGTATGTATGTATGTATGTATGTATGTATGTATGTATGTATGTAATGTATGTATGTATGTAATGTATGTATGTATGTATGTAATGTATGTATGTAATGTATGTATGTATGTATGTATGTATGTATGTATGTATGTATGTATGTAATGTAATGTAATGTAATGTATGTATGTATGTATGTATGTATGTATGTATGTATGTATGTATGTATGTATGTATGTATGTATGTATGTATGTATGTATGTATGTATGTATGCCCTTGTTCAAGACTTGTGCACGGATCATGGCTGATGCTTCCCTTGGATTTTCAGCCTCAGGAGGGTTTTTGCCAGCTGCTGCTGTTGGATGGCTGGGGCAACGCCCGGGACGTGGACAAGATCTGGAAGCAGTCGCTGCAGCAGCGGGCCAACCGCGTCGTCCAGGCGGACGAAGGTGCGGCTTGGGACTCGTGGAGTCGTGAAGAGCAACCATCACGTTGAAGTAAAGCAGAGGATGGATATGTTTATCTTTTTCCCCATTTCCGCACATCCCCTTTTTTAGAGCCCAGAAACCATGCTTAGACAAATGGTATCGCGAACAGCGCATGGCGTGTGTTTAGCTTCAATGAGGGGCATGTAAACCACGCATCCTTATGCTTTTTGAGTTATGCAGGAAGAATTGCCTTCAAGGCATGACAGGTGCTGCGCACCCAAGTTGGAGAGGGTACCACTTCAAAGAACGCAATTTGAGTTGCTTCCGTGCCAACCTTTGCTTGCATTCGAAGTTGCAGTTGAGTGGAGAGACGCCCTGAGATGAGGCGCATGTCACTCAGGTTTGTTGCCACCCGAGAAGCCTGGCCTCAAAGGAACTGTCCGCAGAGGTTGAGTTAATCAATTATCCATAGTTTGGATACGCAGTGTGAGGGCTAAGGTCAAGAATGACGGTTTTCCGTTCACCTAGCACAGCATGACATGGAATGACATGAAGCAAACCAGGATGCAGCTATCGGTTGAGCTACCAGTGCTGCAATTTGAGAAGCCCAGACTAGGCACAGCCTTTGCCCTGTTTAGCAATTCTTGGGGGCTGACGTGAGTATGCCTTACATTGAATGCAAGCGCGAGCGTTTTCTGTTCCCTGGGGATCTTTTGAAAGACCCTCCCCAACAGGGACTAGCTCTTTTCTTAGATGCAAGTTGGGCCCTTCCAAATGACTGATTCCTTTTTAGCCCCTTGACCAAAAAGAGAGTGACTCCGTCCATTTGCTGAAGGCCTTTGCACACCTTCCCCGTTGGTGGTCAAGGGGTATGGTCACGACTTGTGCACATCTTACTTTTTGCGTGCCAGCGAGCATACAAGTGGCAGCCTCGGTTTTCGGGAAACCGGGTAGTTTTGGGTTGCAGGCGCAGAGAAGACCCTCCAGCTGCAGGATGTTCAGCCAGCTCTGGAGCAGACACATGGTACGATCTCAACTTGGGACGAGATCCCAGTGGGTCTGTCCTGTTGATGGTTTGGTGGTGCTCTTTTCGAGTTGGGCATACCAAACGAACACCAGCCGTTCTGGGGGTCCTTACAAGTGGCCATGCAATTCGCATGAAGATCTCCCATAAATCTTTGGAGCTCGCCGAGGTGGTGGGGGTTGGACGCTTTGGGGACAAAATCCACCCCAATCGAGCGGCACACCTTGGGATGGATGAAACCCGAGGAAAAACACCACCTACCAACGGCGAAACGATCGCGTACGTAGTAGGCAGGTTCGGACACGCAAGTTTTGCCTTTGACAACCTTCTAAGATTTAGCGCCCGAGACAAGTCTGCGTGGCACTCCGCGTAGGCGCTTATTTCGGCATAGATAACACGATTCTTGTTGCTTTGGTTTGCAAGTTGAACGTCTTGAGCGGTGTATGCGCCGCCAGGACTTATAACTGCCGATGCCCTGCTGTTTTCTGATGTCGTGAGTATATGAAGGGAGCAGTGCAACAGTGCGTCTTCCCTTTGTTTCTCGTTTAACTCCAAAATGGAAGCAGAATGGGGGGAGGTGCCGTCTTTGCACAACTCACGGGTTGGGGCGGGGGGGGGCTGGATGTGCGACGTGCCAAGGATGCTGGCAGCAAGGCGAGGAAGGCCAAAGCCCAGCATGCCATCCTTCGACTGGAGGGACTTACCCTGCCAGGGCCAAGAGAGACCTGGCAGGATATCAGGCATTCGAAGAGGCGAGGTGTCACATGTAATGAAGACCCCTGTGTCTGGTGTTTGGGTTGATCATCACGGTTGTGGTGACCGCTCAGAAGGTGAGTTTCTCCCACGGACGGTGACTGTCGATGTTTCTGAGGTGGGTTTCCAAAGCTTTCATAGGGGCGCAGACATGGGGCTGGGCAGTAGGCTCACAATGGACGGGGGAAACAAGCTCTCTTGTGATGAAGTCCCTTCATTCAGGATTCTGACTGTGAGTTCTGGGAAATCCCAAGAATCCGAACTGACCCATGAAGTCCCTTACTTGGGGATTTCTATCTAACCTGGGGATCCTAGACTTGTGGTCCTTTGCTTGGGAATTTCGGTGTGCCCAGTAAGGAGTCACGCTGAACGTGTGGAGCAAGCTCAAGGCAAGCAAGAGGCTGGAGTGCACCCCTGATATTTGCTCGTTCTTCTTTGCAGTAGCTGCAGTCGTTGCTATTTAAATGCAGCGTTTGCCAGCAGCGAGGATGCTGCTGCTGCTGCTGCAGCAGCGGCTACTGCTACCGCTACCGCTACCGCTACCGCTACCGCTACCGCTACCGCTACCGCTGCTGCCGCCGCTGCTGCCGCCGCTGCTGCCGCCACTTCTGTTTTCAGCATGGTCATCACTTGGCATCAGAGAATGCTGTGGGTGTGTGGCCCATGCCTCCGCTTTTGCGGTTGCTGTGCACTGGAAGCTGGCTTGATGGATATGGCAGTACGTTTGTGACCACACTTTTGACAACTTGCTGGCTATGTTTCATTTCTCCTCCCAAACCTTTTCATGCCTCAGGTTGTACCCTTACAGCCCCCCAAAACCTTACAAGCTCCCCCAACCCTTACATGGCGAAACAGCATGGGCGCCCAGGGCAAGGACGATACCCAGGAGGCGCCTCCACAAGCAACAGACGGCAGGGACCCCGGGGTCAGCGACGACGTGTGGGCGGAGCTGCAGCGAGCCAAGGAGGCCGGGTGCTGCCGTTTGCTTGTGGTTTGGAAACGCCACGCTGGTCATGTCATTCAGGTGGTTGTTCTGCAATTGCCTTGTGATTGTTCTATCATTCTCTCCATGGCTTTCCCCAACCATATTAAGAGCGCTTCTTTTCAAATCGTGTAGCCTTCAGGGAGCTCGAAGCTGACACAACTTGCTGGAAGGGTTTTGCTGGTTCCCTTAGGAACCAGCTCGCGCTACCGTTCCCTTGGTGTCCTTTCCAGAGCGTCTTGCCAAAATGGAGGGCGAAACAGCTGTGGAGTGTCAGACTCCTTTTCTTTAGAGGAAGACGACGTTCAATCAACAACTAGGAGTGCTCAAGTGCCCTAGACAGGCTTCTTTGCCTTACTTGCCTCGCTTGGCCGCATGGCGCATGTTGCCTGGAGCATTTGCGAGGGCTTGTGTGGCCAGGTTTGCAGCAACGACTGGGATTCCTGCTCACTAACTTGACCACAGTGCAGCAAAAGAGAGAACATGCAAATTCTGGCATGACTACTGTCATTTTTCTTCCAGCATTGGTGACACCGATCCGAACAATTTCTTCCCCTCATCGTTTGACCTTGTTTTCAAGTGTGTGTTGTTGTGTGTGGTGGGTGGGAGGAAAGGGGGGATTAATAGTGGCTGGTTCGATATGCAGAGAACTGAACCTGAGAGGAACCCAAACTTGTGTTCCTCAGAGAGGCGGACATCTCCTTTCGGAGCCAAAAGGAAAATCGCCATAAGGACCACCTTTTTGAGAAGCCCCACGCTTCATTCCCAACCACCCCCCCCCCCCCCGAATTCCAGAAACGACGACCGCAGAGGCCTTGGCAGAGGAGGAGGCGCGCCAACTCAGAGAGCAGCAGGAGGCCGAGGCGGGGCGAGCAGCCAGACACTTTCCGCGTGTCCGGTTTTTTCGGGGCGTAAGCTTACCGCCAGGTTTGGAGGATGGTTGTGTGTTTGTGCGTTCTTGTTGACTCCAAACAAAATGTGGGATTTGGACAAACATGGCAACCTCAACCTCGGCGCCCTGATGTTCGAATTCAACCAGTTTGCCGCAAGGTCCGTTTCTGAAATGTGCTGTCAAATGATTGGGCGAATTCTGAGGAGTTTTCTTTGTTCAAGGCGATGCCCTGGAACAGGGCCGGAGATCGGATTGGGCGGAGGGGAGGGATTTGTTGCCGCGATGGTCAAACCCATCAGGTGAAGCCGAGCGGCGTTGAGAGCAGTCATGGCGTAGACGGGATTCACAAAAGGCCACTCATCCCGAGCACGCTTCCAATTCAACCCGGGACTGCCTCCCGGCATCCATGTTTCCTGCTCTGGCAGCGGTTATTCGGGCGGACAAAAATGATGCAGCGTCTGATTCATATCCGTCCTGCATGCAAGGCAGAAGCTCGGAAATGACAGGCATTCAGATTCCTTTCCGTGTGTCCTCATTTCTTCCAGCATGGTTTTAGTTTAGTCTCTTGTGGATTCGGGGGCCGAGAAGTCTGGTGGATCACTTGCAGGCCCGGGAAGAAGCCATCCAAGCTGCCAGGGAGGAGGACAGGCTCCAGATTGGAGCTTTGGGTTCTGAAGGATCCCCTTGGTCGGGGCTTCAAGAGACGTTAGAGGCTTGGCTTCTCCGTAGCTTGAGGATGGCATCGCAGATGTCTTGCTTTCCCAACACCGACGAAAGTTTTCACCGGACTCTCTTTTTCCCGCCCTGGCAATGATGTGTCCATATGTGTCCATTTTTTCCGAATTCCTCTGGTCATGACCCCCCTGGACTGATTTGCTGGGGACCTCGCAGCCATCGAACTCGGAACGATGAGAAACACAGGGTTGTTTAGCAAACCTTCAGGGTGTTGATTTATTTTGGGGGCCCGATCAGCTTCAATGCAAAGAGGGGTTCCCTGCTCAGTGTGGGTGTTCCTCTGGCTTTCCTCAATGGAGCCGAACGCGGCCATTGTTTGGCGCCCACGTGTGGGGGGCAAACGAATTTGCGGCCTCGAGATTTCGAGTGTCTCCACTTCAGTCATGAGGGTTCCCTTCGTGACAGCTCCCCATGGGCATTTCGCCCGTTGGGCCCAGCTGTTGCCATGGCTGGTTGGCCCAGGGCTGGACATGTCAAAGCGTCGATCAAGACATTTGAGCCACAGTCAAAACCCGGGTAGATGAAGGTTAGGACGGGATACTCCCAACCAGAAATAGCTGCGGCCGCCTTCTTAGTTCTTTAGTGTTCTGGGTAGACCAAATCCATTCCGGGTTTTGATGATGACTCATTTGAGCAGAAGACTCCAGGCCCCCAACAAAAGCAGAGGAGCTGCGTCGGCAGATGGAGGCCTACTTGCAGCAGCTAGCGGAGGAGGCTGAGCAGGCGAATGTGAAACGCGGGCATCGCCTCGAAGGGGTTTGGCATTGCAACCCATTCTTTCCAAACCCTGGGAAAACTGCTCTTTTTTTAGAACGATGGTTGAAAAGAATGGGGAATCAACCCCTAGGAAAAATGTTTTTGCTACAGATCCTTTGTTCTTCGGACCATTGTCCTCTTAGTAACGGGGTTAAGCTGGCTCTTTGCCCAAATAAGAAACTGAGACACTAAGCTTTTTGGGACCCATTGGCGTCGCTGCTCTGTCCCCAAATAAGAAGTGGCTTCAGGATGCTCCTAAAAGCTGTGCGGCTTTTGAGAGAAGCCGTGACAGTCAGCAACACTGACGTTCTTAACTAGTTCGCGCTGTTTTGGGGGGAGGGCGTCTGGGATGTCCAGCGTCTCAAGTTCTCAAGTGGATTTTTGCACAGTGGTGTATCGCGGTATTTCTCAAGGTTCGTCCGGTTTTTGCAGACTGGGGGCGGTGTCGGTGTTGAATGGTCCCGCATCGGTTTGCAGCCTGCTGCCTTCTTCCAGACTAGAGATCGAGACGTGTGTTTGGGAACTGTTTGTGGACCTTGCCTCAGTCCATCATTTGACCCCTTGCTCATATTCGAGCAAAGAAAGGAGCGCTGCCGCCGATGCGGTGAACATGTATCAGGCGTGTGAATGTCTTGCGAACAATGCGGTGAAACAGTTGGCCTGGAAGCACGATGCCACGGGGTCAGGCGGCCTTGAGCTGAAACAGCATATGTCTGTGTGGCGTCACCAATGCCATCGTGCAAACTTTGGTTCGCAATTTCCAGCAAGCGCCAGCTCTTTTTGCTCTTGAGAGGTGCCGCTTTGCATCAAACAAACTTGTTCACCTGCTCAGCCCGAGAATACGTGGGTACGCCATACGCCTGGAGGCTAGCCATATTTCTGGTCAGTTTTGGTCCAATCTAGTGGAACTCAAGGTCACCCCTTCTTGGAGCGAGCCTTTGCAACCTAAATCCTCGACTGCTCTCTGGCCGCGGCAACGATGGGTGTGTGTCGGTGGCAAGGGCTGCGAAAGCTTATAGAGATCTTTTGAGGCGCTTGCCCCCAGCCTGCGAGCCGAACCGGGTACTTCCAAGTCTGTCGTCATCAATTCCAATTCTCCAGTTGAGGCACCTTGGCTGACCATCTCCTCTTTTGGGGCCTCAACCATGATGCGCCTTTTCTCCACAAACGCTGTGTACGGGCGCAGGTTCTCTCTTTGGACGAGTTTGGAAGGATGTCCTGCCTCGCAATGCTAATCCTCTCTTGGTATGCGGAAATTCCCCTCAACAGCTCAAACATGCCTAAGCCCATTTTCTTGTGCCAAGGTCCCCCCAGCACCTGCTAGGGAATGAGGGAATGACCCCCTGTGAACCATCTCTTACACTTCCTTTCATTAAAAAGGAACCTTCTCTTGCACGGTTTGTTCGCAGATTGTCAGAGACCCCGCATGCAAATCTAAACCACAGTCGCCCAACTCGGGGCTTGCCGCGAAAACAAGCTGCTCTTATGCCAACTGGTTGAAAATTCACTGAATCCATATGTGGAAATCTCTCTTGCTGGGGAATCAACGTGGTCGAAATCCCCCAAAGTCCCAACGCCAAAATCTAACTCTTATGCCAGGCAGAGAATCTTGCAAAGGTTCCGCGAAAGCCTGCCAAACATCAGGGACAGCACTTGGGGAGTTCCCTATGCCGAAATTTTCCGGGGCAAAGGGAGCTGAAACTGGGAGGCGCGGTTGGAGGAGGAGCGGCGCCAGAAGGAGGCAGAGCTCCGGGAGCGATTGGAACGGGAGCGCCGGGCGCGGGAGGAGCAACAGCGCCAGGAGGGGCGAGCCGCGGGGCGTGGTGAGGCGTGTCGGGTCAGCTGTGTTCTTTATTTTTTGGTGCTGTGGGCAGTCAAGACACTCTGTTTGAGAAGTACGCCAAAATGAGAATGAGGTTGGAAGTCCCATTAAGGTCCAAAAGGGGTTTAGCAGGCGCCGAGAGATGTGGGGTGGTGAGGGGATTGAGGGTTAGGATCAGTTCCACCAGGCCCATGTCGATCCCTTCTTGGTCCTTGCAGTTCTTCCCTTTCAGTGAACCGTTTGACTCTATCATGAACTCGGATGGTACATTGCATGAAATAGGACCTGACTGGAATTGCAAATTCCTGGGGGGGATGGACACATACTTGGAGTGTTCGCCCCACTCAGTAAGTTGTAACTATGGTTAAACATGGTCTAACAAGGGTTAGCTCCTGTAGAACCATGGCTAGGACCTGTTTTTTGAAGACAAGAAGGCACCATTCGACCATCACCATTTGTCGGCAGTTTACAGGGTTTGCCGCTGCGCAGCGAGCGCCGAGGTTGTGTGTCGAGCCGCGACGCCCCACTTATGCCGTTCGCCAAAGGATCCTGGCACCCCCCCTTTGCTCATGAGGTTCGGTCAACATTTCGAGTAGTCTACGGCGGAGTATCGCACTTTTTGGCCATGGCACTTCCTTGGATGTTCAACCCACTTAGTAGGTTATAACTTTCACTGGCTGTAATGCACAAACCCTAGTTGCCCCACTTATAGCCATGATACTACTTACTCACCCGACGAGCTGTGAGGAGCTTTTGCGGCAGCAGGCAGAGGCCGCGCAGCGGCGGGCCATCCAAGAGAAGCTGCGTCAGATCAGCCCCTGCCCTGCGGGCTTCAACTGGCGCCCTGGCCGCAGAGGGCCGCAGGCCTCAAGCTCGACTTCCGGCGCGGGGGGTGGACGGGCCGTAGATTGCAGTGAGTTCACACGAGGAAATTGTGACGATTCGGTGACAGAACTTGTCAGCCCGCTGTTGACATCGCTGCCACTTTCTGGAAACGGAAAAAGGTGAGAAGGTCGAGGAGCAGCGCAACGGTTGATCTAACAGGACATTCTCAATGGAGAATAGCTCAATGAGAGTTTGTGGACACCCGCTGGATTGAACGGGGTCGAACATGGCTGCTTTGGCGGCTGGGTGGCACTTTGCCGCAGATTTGCGAGCTAATGGAGCAGAAAAATGGTTTGCTTGACTCTGTTGCGCAGGTAACACATATTTTGCACAGTTTCACGATTTCGGATACTTTTCGCTTTGTGGTTTGTCGCTTAATATGTACGTCAATCTTTGCTCACGCATCTTTTTTCATGATTCAGGGCATGTATTGTCGAAGGGTTTTTGGGCAGTAGGAGATCTAAGACACCAAATGCCGCGGCACGCACAAAGGTACAAAACCGGCGGCGGATGGCGATGCGGAGGCGGAAGTCATTTTGTGTCAGATGAGCAGTCACGCAGCCGCACTGGGCTGAAGTCCGATGGTTTGTTTTGGGGCTCAAGGAGTTGTGTTCTGGCTTGCTCCCGCTGTGTTTCAGTACAAGCCATGCTTTGAACGCCCATGTTTGAGCGTGCAGAATGATTCAGATTTGTTCTTAGGGATTGGAATGCAAAGATCACAAGGATTTTGAAAACACGTTGTTTCAGCTGTGGGGTCATGTGCCAGAAGTGCAAGATTTGAAAGGTAGTTGGCATTAACACAGTATCCTTTCTTCAACAGGACCACATGTATTTTGGTTTAGCGCTTGGGCCTTGCAAGGCAAGTCATCATACACCTGTACCACCGGTTAGATCAAGAGAAAAGCAACATTTTCATTTGGTTGTCCCACCCTTGCCACGCACAGAAGCAACACATCAAATGCGAACAATGGGCCATGCCCATGCAGATTTGAACATGTTTTCCAGGTGCCATACATTTGGCTCGAGAAACACCGGTCCATGCTGAACCACACCCGTTAGGAACCCGAATGTCGAAGGATGCTAGCATCTCATGAACTGGACGCCCACATCTAGCCCACATAGAGGCCTGCCCAAACACCTCCCAACGGCTTGCGCTTGGTAAGAAAGCAAACTCCAGGAGGCCACCCGAAGAACGGTCGCCGCACTGCGCAAAGATATCAACGTTGCTCAAGCTAGAAGAGTGCCAGCTTCCTCCGGTCTGGTTTGTTTTTATCTTCAAGTGCTTTCAAACCTTTGCGGGCCAATTTTTCCAGGGCGTGCGCGCGGCACTTGCCTATTGCGGATCCTGACTCACATAAATGCAAAGATAGAAACTTGCTTGGTTGGATGAAGCCCGGCGAGGACTCGCAGACTAAAGCAGCCTTCGGGATAGTTTTCCAGACTGTTTCTCCTTTGCACGGAGTCCCCCCGTTTCGGGAGTCGTTTCCCAGCTCAGCGCTGAATGAGTCTTATGTTGGCCTCGCCTTTTGGTCGTATTTTGCTGGATTTCAACTTCACCTGGCAAAAAGTGATCTCTTCAAAATGTGTGCCATGGGTCGAAGGGAGAGCGTTGGCGCAAAGTTGTGGTATGTGGGAAACCGATTGTAGGACTTTCAGACTGTGGTGTTTTGAAATCAGACCCCTGCAGTTGTGAAATGCAGCCTGGTTTGTTGAGGACGAACATTGGCGATTGATCAGCGTGCAAATCACGCGCGCAAATCAAACCAGATCACTGTCTTTTGGTCCGAATGTTATTGGCACAGGTTTGTTTCAAAGCAATGTGGTCAATCGTTTTGCTGACAGCGCGGCTTCTGCAAAGCCTGGACATCATGCTAGTGAATCAGCTGTGTGTAAGGCCACGTGCTCGGGGCCAATTTGGCACGGCTACAATCCTTGGCGTGCCTGTTCAGCGCTTTGAAGTGGACAGAAAAAGAGTCTCTCCGAAACGACCCCCCTGTATGAATACATACATGCATCCAACATACCTATCTACCTACCTGTCTACCTACTTGTCTACCTATCTACCTACCTACCTATCTACCTACCTATCTACCTACCTATCTACCTACCTATCTACCCACCTTCTACTTACCTATCTACCTACCTATTGCCTATCTACATACCATCTTGTACAATCTACACATACACATGCACATACGTGCATATTTATTCGCACACATATAGTCCGGTTTCTCGAGTCATTTGATGTCTTCGGCCTCAGGCTGCAGCGTCAGTTTACCCACTGATGCGGAGAGAGAGGGGTGGGCAAGTGCGAAGCAAGCCCAAGGTTGGCTTCGTAGCCCTGCCCGCCCCATCAGACACCCAGACATGGGTGGACCGTGAGGCATGTGTCAGAAATAGCTTTGAGCCAGCAGGATCCTTTGGAGAGTGGTCTCATGAACACGTGTTTGGTTCATCCCGGCTGGGAGCAAAGCAGGCTGGAATCGATTCCACAGAATTGCGCAGATTGCGTGCACACTGAAAGACGGCCCCATGAAGTGGGCGCGCAGTTTTTCGACGGAGATCGCGGGAAGGCCGTTGTGAGCATCCCAAAACAAGGCGAGACGAGGGTACCCCCACCCAAACCTCGTGAAGCAACTGCACCAGGCGCCCGTCACAAAGTTTGGCTTTGCTTAGTTGGCTTAGCCAAAAGGGCTTGTGCGGAGAGGTGTGCTCGATGGAGGCACAGGTACTTCAAGGGGCTCTAGCTGTGACCCGCAGGGGATTTTTAATTCGTTCACTTATAGAAGTCCTGCCTTGCAGGCAACCCTTATCCATGGGCTGGGGTGTGCGTCAGCGTTTCGACCCACTTGACGCGACACCTTAGCCTAGCGCCTTGAGTCTCCGAATTCCAATGAGGTTGGATTCTCGAAAGCCGAAGTGATGTGCTGATTTGCTTCTTTGTTCTCGCAACACTGTACAAACCTTGCGCTCAAATGGCACATCTCAAATACTACAACCTCACTCAAATAGAAACGAACCTCGCTGTTCGGATTCGTCCCCCATCCAGGCCCAATGTCTGTCTAAGGTTGCTGTTGTTTGTTTGCCTGCTTGCTTGCTTGCTTGTTTGCTGGCTGGCTTGCTGGCTTGCTGGCTTGTTTGTTTGTTTGTTTGTTTGTTTGTTTTGTTTTGTATGTTTGTTCGTTTGTTCGTTCGTTTGTTTGTTCGCTTGTTTGTTTGTTCGTTCGTTTGTTTGTTCGTTCGTTTGTTTGTTTGTTTGCCTATGTGTGTGTTTGGTTGTTTGTTTGGTTGCTTACTTGCTTGCTTGCTTGCTTGCTTGGTTGGTTGGTTGGTTGGTTGTTGTTGGTGGTTGTTGTTTGTTGTTTGTTGTTTGTTGTTTGTTGTTTGTGGTTTGTGGTTTGTGGTGTGTGGTGTGTGGTGTGTGGTTTGTTGTTGTTTGTTGGCTGTTGGTTGTTGGTTGTTGGTTGTTGGTGGGTGGTTGTTGGTTGTTGGTTGTTAGCTGTTGGTTGTTGGTTGTGGTTGTTGGTTGTGGTTGTGGTTGCGGTTGTTGTTGTCGTTGTGGTTATTGTTGTCGTTGTCGTTGTCGTTGTCGTTGTCGTTGTCGTTGTCGTTGTCGTTGTCGTTGTCGTTGTCGTTGTCGTTGTTGTTGTTGTTGTTGTTGTTGTTGTTGTTGTTGTTGTTGTTGTTGTTGTTGTTGTTGCTGTTGCTGTTGCTGTTGCTGTTGCTGTTGCTGTTGCTGTTGCTGTTGCTGTTGCTGTTGCTGTTGCTGTTGCTGTTGCTGTTGCTGTTGCTGTTGCTGTTGCTGTTGCTGTTGCTGTTGCTGTTGCTGTTGCTGTTGCTGTGTTGTTGTTGTTGTTGTTGTTGTTGTTGTTGTTGTTGTTGTTGTTGTTGTTGTTGTTGTTGTTGTTGTTGTTGTTGTTACTTAGGGTATGTCATTTTTCCTTGTCTCTGATCTTGGGGGATGAGCCACTGCGATGGTGATGCAACAGAATTGTCAGCATTCAGCCACCAAACGCGCCTGGCATGGATCAACTACACACGTATACACAAGTACGGCAACACAACAGATCGTATGCATATGTCAGATGATGTAGGTCAAATGCACCTTTGCCTTTTTTCATTTGTGCATAGCTAGCAAGGGGCGCCCAAGGGTTTTTGCCCCCATCAGAGTTATTTCACATCTCTTTTTACATCAGTATGCCTGTGAGCTTCCGCTCAGCTCTCTTGTCTAGACAAATCCTGGCCATGGGCGGCAGGTGCAAACAAGCCCTAAAACAGAACCAGAGACGACAAAATACAGTTTTCAACCTACTGTTGGTTTGGGGGAGGACATATTGGAACAGTGTCCCGCAGCCAAGGGTACACCTAATTGTCCCAGGTCCTTGTCTGAAAAGCTAACATCAGGGGCTAAGACAATTACACAGCTTCCCGAATTTGGATTGAAAGTAGCCCAACCTCGCGTAGGTGTTTCGCCCGGCAAAAATTGAGCCAACTCTTTTGTGTTGTCACAGGGCTCCTTAAAAGATACATGTTGCCCATTTGAAACATGGCTTTTTCCACCAAAATAAATGGACGCCACCATTTACAAGGCAATATTCAGGTGTATAATGTAAGGATCCCTGTGTCATTTTGCACATTGCACATCACCGATGGTAGCTGAAGTAGAAACTGGTTGAATCTAAGCCGACCGGCTTGAAGTTGTTGTTGTTTGTGGTTGTTGTAGTTGTTGTGGTTGTTGTGGTGTTGTCGATGTCGATGTCGATGTCGATGTCGATGTCGATGTTGCTGCATCTCCAGTTTTCTGCCAGCGAGCTCACCAAGGGGGCAACTCATTCATGAACTCCAGCGGGTATTACTGCGTTCAGTGTAGGCGAAGAGTTTCTCAGAGTCGGTTCTAGCTTGTTTGAAGGAGCTTGACTCAAGGGAATGATTGCAAGGAGTCCGTCAATGGAAGGTGGCAGAGTGAATTCGGAGCACCAAGGTATGGACAGACATTTACACATATTACTTAGATAGGGCCAGAGCGACCACGATGCTCCCAAGCCTTGTTAGACCGATTGGTGGCATTTTTTCCAGTGTCAGGCATTGGCCAAGCAAGGCATGCAGGCCTTGCGTTCGGACATGAGCTTGAGATGTGCCGCCAGAAAGGTTGTCTCAAATAGAAATATTAGACAGCCGCTAGAATCGCAATCTCGTCTCAAAGGAATATATATATATATAGTTTCAACATGAAGTTTAGAAAGCTGGTGAAATTAAACGATATACTTATTAGGGATCCCTGAAGTACCGCTTCTTTTTAGGTTTGCAACGTCGGGTTCTCGCAGACTTTTGCTATCGATTTTCACAGGGTACGGCGCTTGCTTGTTATATAAGTGCATGCGAAACTTGAAGCTTATGCGTGTTGAGCATCTTGGTGGGGCAATGAATCAATTGCAATAGTTTCCAACGCATTCGTCAAGCTGTTATTCTCATCGCGTCTCACGAACTACGATTTTGCGTATGGGGAGTTCCAATTACTTATTAGATGGGAAATCAGCTACGTCGTATTGTAGCTCTATTGAGATTTGTATGCTACGCGAGGTGCAAGGTGCGAGGAGCGAGGTGTTGCGAAGGCCAAGGAGGCCCGAAGTGAGCCAGAAGGCTCTGAAGTTTCTGTAAGGTCTGATAAGGTTTTTGGCTTTAGAAAGTTTTGGTAAGGTTCCGGACAGCGCCGACACTCCCTGGGCACCGTGGGTTTTTAGCTGGCGCAGGTTCCGAATGGTTTGGGAAGCGCGCGGAGAGATCGGCTTGTGCTTCGGAGGGTTCCCGGAGGTGCCGGGGGCTCCATCTTGGCGCTGGTAGGGAGGTTCTGGAAGGTACTGGCATTCCTTGAAGCTCTTGCTTTGATAGGATTCCGGACGTGGTTCCGAGCAAGAAGCCCCGAATTGCTCGATGAACCCTTTGCGGGGATCGTGTGTGTCGAAGCGCTCTGGCTGAGGCGCCGTGCGAATCTGCGACATGTGCGATGCACCCGTTAAGCTTGAGGGGATCGTGCGTGTCGAAGCGATTTCGAGGCGCCTGCGAACTTGCAACTTGCTTGATGAACCCTTTGTGGGATGGTGCTTGTCGACGCTGTGGCGCCGTGCGAATGTGCAAAGCGCGCATTGCAACTTCTGAGTACAAAAGTTGCACTTTACGTACGCGACACACAGTTTTGCAACTCTGCCCTCGAAGCGCCTGATGGGATTTCAAGAAAGTGTCATTTCCTGTAGGCACATTGTTTGTTTCGAACCTTCCGTCATCCGTTTTCGCTGGAGCGTACGTGGTATTTATATTGACCTGACATTGTCTAATATTGACTTGACGTGGTCGAGCTAGAATTGCTAAATCCAACACTTTACATGTTTTTTGTTTTTTTGTTTTATCTCTCTGTAAAATATATATCTATTTGTCTATCTATATACACATATATACGTACATAGTGAACATGCGTGATTGTTGGTTTTTGCTCAATATAGCATATGTGGATATGTGTGTTTTGCTCTAGCATATTTTGCCAAGCAGCGTGCGCATTAACTCCGGCACTCGACCTCTGGCACGCCGGTTGGCAGCGTGCGGGAGTGAGCGAGTGAGTGGCAAAAGTTGCTGCGCTAGGTGGGAAGCGCAGAGCCACTGCCTAGGGCGCCATTCCGTAGGAAGCAAGAGCACCAAGTGAATTGCGGAGGCGACTCACCTGCCGGCACGTTTGCTCTCCGCGGTCAAAGTTGCAATTAGTCAGACTCTGGGCATGTCTTTCCATATTGTCAGCCTCTTTTACCTGAAAGCTGAAATAGATCATTTCGCAGGATTCGAAATGGTCTGCAGGGATGCCATTGGACTCCAACAGACCCGAAACTTGTTGTCTTTGTCAGAATTCGTTGCGTGTGATGCGGACTGGCGTTGCGATCCTTTGGTACTCTGACACTCTTTGGTACGCGCGCTTAGCCTATGGCTATCTTTCCAACAGCCTAGTTTGCCTTTCAAGAATTCAGGGGCCGCTAGTTGCCAATGGCATTTACACATTTGCCAGGCGTTCTGAGCCCACATCATTTATTTCAGAACTACCGTGTCCATCCATACTGACGATTTCAAGATGAATCATTCGAGGTAGCCAAGGAGATGCGGGCACCACTTGTTGGCAAAGCTCGGCACCCATCACAACACTGCTTTGTCACTTTGTCCGCAGTTCGCGCGGCTCTATAACAAATTCAAGGCCGCACTACTGACAATGACACTCCGAGTTTTTCTAGCTCTGAAACTTCAGACGTTCCCACTTTGAATCATCAAAAAACAAGCGCGAGAGCCACCATCCGCGGCACATGGCCATGTAAACCGTCAGAGCCCTGAAGGTCGATCAGCTGCGTTCAAATTGTGACAGACGAGAGAACGGCCAACTGCGCCATGGCTGCCTTGCTCAAGTCGGTCACGCCGGTGACGCAGGCGGAGATGTGGCATTGCAAATGAACGAAGGATCCCGCAATTAATCCGACGTGTTGTTCCATTTGTGTGTTTGGCTTCATAGAGAAATGCTGGAGCTCGGCATCATGCGGCAGCTTTGCAGTGGCCTGGTGGCATTTCCATCAAATAGTGCCTATCATGTCATAGTTGTGCGGTTGGAAGATGGCATGCCCTGTAAGGTGTGGATTGTGTGATTTTAGTGGCAAGTAGCGGCACAGCTTGTTGTTCTGCTAATGCTGCCCGCTCTGCTTCTCTCGCCACTCATGCACCAGGCTCTACATGCTTGTGGCCAGCAGGCAGGATGTGCGATTTGCAAAGCAATTTGCTTAGCCGAGGTTGCGTGGGGTGGGTGATTCTTGCCGAAAGATTGTTTGACATTGACAAGTTCTCACCTTGCATGATTTGTCGGCACGCCATGTTTCGGCATGGAAGAACGTACTCAGGTGCTCTTCATTTGGTGTGTAGCGATTCGGATGTGCCTTGAGGACAGAAATGTGGTTGAAGAATTAGACCCTCCCCTGCTCGCAGAAGATCCCCTTATGAGAACCAGCAGGTGGCAATGACATGCTCATTTGTAGGGGTGGGGTAAGCAGCAATAAGTTGCTTGACGGCGAAGTGCAAGCAACAGTTCGTCGCCCAGCCGATCAAGCAATTGTTTTGTGAGTTGCATTTCTGACCATCGGGCGTTGGCAGTAAGGCGACACATTTCACATTGAATCCTGATCCCTTGACATGTTAAGTGATTGACAGTGGCGGAGACAAGTTATCTCGTTTTTTTTTTTTTTTTTTTTTTTTCCAGTAATAATAATAATAATAAACATATATATCAACATATTGGTTTGTCGGGTTTGTCCGTGTTCCAAAGGCGGGACCACCCAAAATGTCTGACTGCCTGCCCTTTCGTCAGCCTCTTCGCACAGAGTGATGGCCATGGGTCAAGATCCAAATCGTACCCGCAGTGAACATCCCAATCCCCGCTAAAATAGGTTCTAAAATTGGTGGTGAATTCACCTACCCCAAAATGGGATCCAAAACCACAGCCATTTGTGGCCAGTTCCCATTTCCAGAATTCCACCTCTCTGAAAACCAGCGAGATACTTCGAACAAAGGCTGGCTGCCCTTCAGCCAGAGCATCCCTCCTACAAAAAGTCGGCCTCGCAAAGAGTGCTGGGTGCAGGTTCGGTGGAAGTCCAACCCCCTGAACTCTGTGTCTCTCTTGCCCGGAGCTTAGTTCGGCTCACATGAGGGCTCCGACACATTTCGTTTGAGGTGCTTTCGGGCCAAAGAGGTTGATGTCCTGGCCTTGCAGGCAAACTTAGGATGCATGCCCATTCAAGGAGCTTTACCGATGGCTTTACGTATATTTGTATATGCTTCGTACAGGCGTTTGGGCTCAACACACTGTAAAGGCAACACAGCTAATAGATGTTAATAGCGCAAAGGAACATCATGAGCCATATCATAGGAACTTTTGGCTCTTGAGCCGTATCATAGGAACTAATGTTGCAGGAACATCATTATGTGAATCAGGGTTTTCTGATCAAAGATGCAGAAGGGGACCAGTAGCCCGCCGGAACCCGGAGCTTGAAGCTAGATTTGGAGGGAGCAAGAACCTTTTAGGCGACCAAACAAAAGGTGTTCCTTTTTAGTTTCCCTTTAAAACCACAAAAGAGGGGTGCCTCAAAGAAAGTTTTGGGATATATACCAATCAGAAAGCGCTGCTTCAGGATTGCAGAGAAAGCAGGTCCCATTTGCACAAATGATCGCTATAATCGCCTTGGAAGACGACTTGACGCAGAGGACACTTCTAGGTCCCCCAGTAGTGCCCTTTGACCCTTTTTTTTGGGGGGAGGGCTCCCCTACTAAAATAGACTACAGAAAAACGGGTACCCTGATTCTAAGCTCTCTACTGGAGGACCTAGACTTCCTATCCAGACCCCTTGTTTCAGTTCTTTCTTCAGCGCGTTGCCTAAGATGCCTTGCAAAGAGATCAGCCACGAGGGCGAACGGGGCCCATCGGCTTGCAACATGTTTCCTGCCTTCGAGGGTTGGATTTGAGTGTCGACTTGAGGCCGCATCCCCCTTTTCGGTGGTTTTAACCATCATCTTTAGATGGCCAATTCGAAGTGAGCTTCCCTTGGCAAGGGCAATGTTTCCAGTGGAACTATGGGGAACCCCGTAAGATTCTTTTGTCAAGGCCCTACTGTGGATGGATGAAATCCTGCACCACTTTGAAATCACGAGAAACCATTGTTTGTTGGTATTTACAGGGCAATACTTATTTTCAGGGTTTCTTAGGTGGTGCGAAATGGATTTCGTCCATCCACAGTATTAGGCCCACTTCCCAGCCGAGCAACCAAAAAAAACGCGGGTTTGGTGGTTTCCAGAGGCAGCAGTACTACCGGAAGATGCCCATCCGGAAGAAGTACCGCAGGGCCATCATGCGTGGCACCATGGTCATGTGTGAGAGAACTGGGCAGGCGCGGGGGAGCAGTTTGCTGGCCTAGGTCGGTGAAAAGGAAACCTGCGGAATTGCCATCTTGAGACCAAGAATGGGGTTGGCGCCTCAAAATGGGGATCCCCTTTCAAGCAAAACAAAACCTGCAGAATTGCCATCTTGATACCAAGCATGGGTCTGGCGCCCCAAAATGGTTTCTAATTTCACCCCAAGATGGGTTTTCTGTCGGATTCCCTTTAAAGCAACCCGAAACGGGACGGCGCCTCATCCGCAGAGCTGCCATTCAAGCGGCCAGGTGCGCATTCCTCCGCTTGCCATCTCCGGGTACGATGAGAAGAAGAACCCCTACAGGGGAAGGCAGTGGATCTGCCTGAGCTGGGTTCAATGCATGATTGCTTGACGTGTTAAGTCCAAATGTTTTCAGGCGGGTGTTCGGCAGTTGGCGATATGGCGCTTTGCTGCGGGCTGGAAAACTGAACTGGCCCCAGCCTCAAGCCAAATTAATGCGGTCGGATGCATGGTGTTTCCGCAGGCCATGGTGTTTCCGCAGGTAGCTGGAGGGGTTCCAACTTCAAGAGACGGAGATGTGACGCAAAATTAGCAACATGTTGGGTTGACGGGGGGGGGGTTTGCCCGGGACTTTCATGCTGCCCCGCGCATGCCAATCCTCAGCGTGTTCGCGGATGCCGGAGAGGGGGGGGAGGGAACGGGGGGGGGGGGGATGGAAAGAACGCGGGTCCATGTTTCCAGCATGTCGAGGCAAACCTGTGTTTCAAATCTAGCCCCCAGCCCCCCACGCCACATGACTTCTCCGCTTTCTGCGTGCTCTACTTGACTGCGCAGTCCCATTTGCTTATCTGACAGGCTGCCACTTTGCCGCAGGTGATTTTAAACACCTGGTGTCTAAGAGGGCTTGGGGTCTTCTTGCGTTGAAGGAGCTACCTTCCCGTATGCTGGTTTTTGTCTCCGCTGCGCTCTTGGTACCGGGCAGGAACGAAGTTCTGCCAGCAAGTTATCAGCGCAGCTCATGACCTGTCCGCTTCGCATGTACAAGGCAGCCTGGCCTGGGAAGCTGCACTGAAGGTCTCTTCCTAAGAGAGTCGAGCCACAGTCCTGGAGCTTGTTTCGAGCAAGTGAGAATCCCGCGCCTGCCAGCACCGCGTATTCGAATCTGAGGTTGGACATTTGCAGACTTTTGCTGTGATCCCACCGAAGCCACGATTCACTGCTATTCGCATAGGGTTCGCACAACTCCCAACACACGTCCAAGAGTGACCGTCATTCGGTCCGTGCAAATTCTTCCCCCCCCCCGGCAACCCAACATGTTGCTTTGCGTGGTGCTCGTGTGGGGTGCTTTGGCTGTTGTAGGCTGCCCTTGTGTTTGGCTGAAAAATGGCGCAGGTTGTGCAACGCGTCAGCGCAGGTTGAGTGCAGCTTTCCTGCGCGCTGTAGGGCGCTCTGGTGCATGTTTTAGAGCATTGGCGCAACAGAAAACTCGGCGCTCAAGTTTGTGTCTCCCTGTCTTGAAGCTACACTGGCATTTGCGGTTGAAACGCCTGCTGTTTTGATATTGGCGCAGATCTTTGCAACTTGGGGTCTGCGGCGAAATTTGTTCGCCAGACTCATGGTTGCTCGCCACAGAATTTTATTGAACACATGCCATGACATAGCATATGTAGCTACTCAAAGATGCAAAGAATGGCTAGTTGATAGATAGTTCTTCGGCTTGGAAGGTGTGTGTGATCGGTCGCTAGTCTGAAGAAGCGTTTGCCCCAGGCACAGATGTTTCAAACGCGTCAATCGTGATGCTTCGGTCGGGAAGGGGGTGCTGGTGTTGCCACTCCAACAAATTGTGAATGTGTGTGTGCATGCTATGAGACGAGGATCTCTCAGATTCACCTGGGCGTTGCACGGTCTTGCTGATCATCTCAAGTTGGGCCGGATCGACATAGATCAACCGGTCGAACAGTCATATGGACCCCGCCCAAGGTGCTGCCGAGCAAACAGTTTGGCCAGGTTCGAGGACCTCCGAGCCCTGCGCGTTTGGTTCAAGGACTGAGCCCAGCGAGTTTCACCGAGAAAGAAAAAGCGGGGGGGGCTCGCTGCGGAGGGGCTGCTTTTCGTAGATGGTGGCAATTTTTGCACCGAGGATGCTTGACATTTTTCAGCTTGCTGGTGCACGTTTTTGCATTTGACACTTGCAGCTTACGTGACCGTTCCTGAGCACAGGGCAAGTTCTGTGATTTTGTTGCGTTGTGCGCAACACGGCGATGTGCGTAAAGCCATTTGCTTGCTGCAAGGCGAAACAACAACAATTTTAAATTTTGCGTCTCGCGTGTTATCTTCTTGGTTGCTTGCGTTGACCACTTCTGATCTCTTCCAATCCAGCATGCATCATGTCCATCGTGACCATGTCATCGCTTGCACAAATTGAGGGGGTAGCGGCAAGCTGTATGGCAAGACACATCGCGAGCCAAAACCTGGCGTTTCCGTGATTGTAGCCACGTGTAGACTGTGCTGTTCGCAGCAATAAATCCAATGCCGAAGCACTTTTACATGTTTCGGCAAGTGCCACACATGGTGCTGAAGTGTGTACCTTCACAGTTGCAAGAGGTTTCTGCTGTTCACCGCATGCAGACTTTGCTCAGATCGCAGCTTTTCAAGGTCCAACACAGGGCTTTCTGCGACCGCCCGTGATGGGAAACACGGCCTCTTGCTGCACCTCTTCGGCGGCTGGGAACTCGGAACTCGGACGTGAACGAAGAGGAAGCACGAGCAAGGGGCCACAACTAGGTCCCCCAGTGGTGCCCTTTTACCCTTTTTTGGTTGGGAGGGTTCCCCTACTGAAATAGACTACAGACCAAAAAAAACGGTACTCTTATTCTAACCTCTCTACTGGAGGACCTAAACCATATTCACCGTCATCTGCTGAAGTAAAGAGGATGGAACTGGGTACCATCACCAAATTGCACACGATGAATATGGATCGTGGCTCGCATCCCCCTCCTTTTGCTGAACACCCGATGCAAGCCGAACGACCTTGTCAGGGTTTGGGAAAACCACAGGATGGATGTGGTCCATCCTGCGGATTGATTTAGGAAGTTGCAGCTCAGAGCATTGGCAACACGTCTTGCTCGAATGGACTCTTGTTGATGCAGTGCTGCAAGGGCAATGAGAAGCCGGAAGTGACGGTTGCGACATCAGCTCCTTCGTCTACGGCGGAGGACGGGAAACTCACGTTGAACTCTCAGTGCAGTTTGCGATTTAGCTTTTTCAGAATCGGACAGCGAAGTAGGTGCACCCCCCAAAAGCACAAATTCGGCAAGGAGAGCCGGGGAACCCAAAACCAAGCAATTGTAAATCACAAGCTCAAACAAACGCGGGTGCTCGCAAAGAGCAACATCTTGCTCCTTGGTTAGAGGAAATCAAGGGGACAACCCTCGAACAACAAACAACAGTGATCACGGGGATTCGGTCAACTTGCTTCTTGGCTCGTAACCAAAATGGGAATCCAGACAAAAACAGCATCGAACCACGCCAAAACGCTACGATTTGCTCTCCAGGTGGGAGAGCCGGAACTTTTCGGAGAGTGATCAACACCTCGATGTTCGCACACCCCTGCAAAATACAAGAAACACAGACCAGGCCCTGAAGCAGGTGTCAAGTGCAGGCACCCGGCACACGGCCCCTGGGCATCCGAACTCACTACATTGAAGTCGACCCTTTTGCGGGTTGTTTGGTTGAAAGTGTGTGTTTTGTTTTGGTGTGGCGAAGCCCCTAGCCTTTGTTCAGGGCGACCAGAACATGCTTATCAGAACGGGTTGGGAGTGAAGAGATGGCTAATGATCTGCTTCTCTTCTCGTTCTTCCTTCTCCAATCTATTGCCTTGGATTGGTAAGAAGGTGAAAGAGATAGCCACATCCCCAGACAAAATACCAAATAACGGGAGGTGGAAAGAGAATCAGAGAGTGAACGTGATATGACTAGAATCCATTCCGCCTCTCAGTCTTCTCTGTGTGGCATGAAGGGCTGGATCTCTCTTTACCTCTTCTCCCAAGCCTCACTGACATGGGTATGGGTCAAAATTAAGCCACCAGGGGAGCGCAGGTTCTGGTCCATTTTCCATTTACCAGGGTTCTATTGGGGTACCCATTTTTGACCCACAGCCATATACTGCACTTAACTGGTTGGGAGTGGTAAAGAGAGTGTGGGCTGGCTGCAACCCCCAATCATAAAGCCAGCCAAGATAAACAAAAATCCGCGGCAGGACGTGAAGCAAGCCTCAGCGGAGTCGGAGACGCCCCGCTGTGCGCCGCGGATTGATGGGACAGGGTTGGCTGGGTGGCGCCAAAAGGCTGAGCAAAGTTGCGGGAGGTTCGAAAATCTTAGAAGACATGTCTGGCCGCACGATTCAGAAGGTGCGGGCAAAAAGAGCCAGGGGACCCTGCAGTTCCCTTTGGTGGAGATGGTTGAAGACTGACGCCGAAAAGCTTATGCTAGTTCCAGATTACCGGTCGGTGCCTGCAAATCGCAGACTGCGACCAAAAGCATTTGGGTGAGTCTCCAAGGTAGGGAAATCCTCAAAATGGATGGTTTCCATTTGGCTCCCCCCTCAAAACGGCCCAGCTTTTGATATCGGTTTTCCACTGCGCGCCAAGTTGGTTGGATTGGGGGTGGACACAGGTTTAGTTTTCAATGGTCTTGATGGTTTGGGGAATTGAATTGGAAGGTCCCCCCTTACCAACCAGCACGCTGAAGCTCCTTCACGAGGTTACTAAAGGGCCATAAGTTACAGAATCAGCTGAATCGCGATCAAAAAAACACACATGCCATCATTGTCCACACACACACAATCCTCAAACACAAGGCTGGTCTACCACAGCCATCGTTTGAACACCCGCTGGTTTCAGGGCCGAATTCTGCCAAGGGAATCTTTGCAAAGCGACCAAGTACTAATGCTTAGATGGTCGGTGATTTTTCCACAAGGCAAGTGATTGCCAAAGCTTGTGATGTGGCGCAAGGTGCTGCGTTTTGTGCTTCCAGATGGCAGCAGCAAGGAGATTGTCTTCACGCAAAGGCCCCGACTCGATTGCCCGTGATTCCCGATGCGGTGTTTTCAAGCACCGCCCTTGTTTGCCCTTCTGAGGCTCGTCAGTTTGCATAGTATGGACTGATGAAAACACTCAGTGTTTACCGGGTCTAGGTCTCCCAGTAGTGCCCTTTACCCCTTTTTTTGGGGGAGGGTTCCCCTACTAAAATAGAGTATACAGACAATAAATGGTACCCTTAGTCTAACCTCTCTACTGGAGGACCTAGGGATTCAACGAACATTGCCCAGCGAAGGATCACCAGGTTGATATGATCGGCTATGCAGTTTAGCTGATCGCGAGGGAGCAATAAGTGATGAGTGTTATGCCAAAGAGACAGAAGCCACGCACCCGCAATTCGCCCACCATGTTCTTCAACCCGTTGAACCTTTGTGGGTTTCCCTTGACAGCAACTCGGGTCCAACTTATGGGGCGTTTTGTTTCTTTTAACATTGTGTTTTTTTGTCGTTTTGGCTTTTTGACACGGTGTTCTTTTGTTTTTCTGTTCGTTTTCGAGGCAAGCAACGGGGGAGTGCACCCCTGGCTCGCTCGGGTCGTCGCGTCTGGTGGCAGGCCTTTGGGCATTGACTTCAGCCGCAGCCTTCCGCTGACCTGCAAGCGCCTGAAGCCGGACCTGCAGGGGGAGAAGAAGGAGGCCGGCTTCGAGCGCTTCGAGCGCTTCGAGCGCTTCGAGCGCACGCGGGGTTTTGGTAGATAAAGTGTGTTATTTATTTCCCTGGCAATCTGGCAAATATGGAAAATGTGGGTGTGAGCTTTAAGGAAGGTGAAGTTTAGTTCCCTGACATTGAGGTCGTCTTCTGGTAGCTTCGCATGAAGGACTCGAGTCAGAACCGGAACCCGAACATGGATATCATTTGACCAGGGGAGCCCCCTGAGTACGGTACTGCTGCTAAATTCATCCGAAGGTAGCGTGCATTTTTTGAGGCTGAGGCAGAACCTGATTCTAGGGGTCAATTCCTTTAAACCCAATGAGGGATCTGCATTTTGAGACAGAATTACATTGGCCAACATTCACCTCCAGCATGAAGCAAGAATCCATCCTGTTTGATCGATGTGCAAGCCCATGGTCCACGTCAGGGACCCTTGGTTGGTATGGCACAATACCAAGATCCAAGAAGTTCAACCGTATGGACCTGGATTTTACCCATTTTGGTTGTACCCAATTTTACCCATTATGGACCTGGACCTGGATCCAAGAATTTACCCAATTCATGGGTGCAGTTGTTTTTTCTTCCTCTTTGGTCGATTGTACCAATTTGGTGTGGTTGTCAATGTCAGCCAACGGAAACCCACCTGTCTGGGGGTCCATACCCATTTTACCCATACGTAGATGACATCCAGACTCCTTTTCAGGTCTCAAGGGGTAACCCGCGGAAATTCCAGGGACCGTGATTCTTCAGCACAGGTAAGACATCAAGTGAGTCACAATCAAAACCCGGGTAGATAAAGGTCAAAGGTCGGGACGATCCCAACCACAAATCGGTGCGGATATCCGCCTTCTCGATCCTTTTTTGTGGTTCTGGGTTCGCCATCTTTGTACCGGGTTTTGATTGTGACGTCAGTCCTCAGGCACGGATCGTCAGGTGAAGATTGGATGGTGTGTCAGCCACATCAACGACCAGCCCTTGCCTGCCACTTGGCCTGCACTTCTAACAGTTCATAGTGTTTATCACTGTACTTGGAGGCTGCTCTCCTAGCAAGCCTTCGACTCCGTCTTCGTCTTCTTCTTCTTCTTCTTCTTCTTCTTTCTTCTTCTTTGCCTGTCTTCGGTTTCAATCTTCTGCTTCTTCTACATTTTCTTGGTCTTCCATTTTGCTTCTGCCTCCTCTTCTTTCTTCTTGTTTTCCTTCTTCATCCTTTGTTACTTCTGCCAAAGTCTTTTCTGCTTTGGTGATTTGATGGGTGCCTTTTGTAAAAGTAGATGGAACGTTGACCACCATAAGGCTTCCTGGGAAGCATGGCTCCACGCGGAAGCGACTCACTAAAGTAAAGGTCATAGGTGCTTCCTCACGAATCAGTGCAGGGGTCCCTCTTTCCCTCCAAGAAGGGACTCCCCGCTAAAAATTTGCACCCCCCCCTTTACTAGTGCACTATCGTCATATGGCTGTGGGTCAACACCAATGGTACCATTTTGGGGTAGGTGCACCACCCATTTTAGTCTATTTTAGTGGTTGGATTGGGATGTTCACTTGAAATATACGATTCGGATTTTGAGCCATGGCCAATATGGGTGTGTCTTTCTTTGACTCCCCACCAAAATGGGCGGTTTGTTCCCCCGAGAGAGACCCAGGTGACCTTCGAAGAGACGTTGGGGACGCTGACGAAGGCCGGGGGCCTCGGTCGTTGTGGTGCCTCCCGGCTGGGAGAGGACCAGCACGGGTGCCTTTTAAAGGAAAGCCATGGAAAGCCAGTGGTGGACCCCGGAAAACGTGAGGTTCCAGGTTGGGAGGAGATCCTTTGGGAGATATCCCGATATTAACATGCAAGCAACGGAATGTCGGGTTACATGTCCCGTGACCCGGAATGGGGAGGATATCCGGTTTTACAGGACCCCCCCGATCTGACGCCTAGTTACATCGGATTGTCCCCTTCAGACCATTGAAGAAGGGCCCGGAAGCTAGTTCGCTAGCTAGAGTGTGAGGAATCAGGTGGTCCTCAGTTAGCCATTTCAGTTAGCTCAGTTGATAGTCAGTCACATCGGTATTCTGCTACTTCAACTCTTTCGTGGTGGCTAGTTTAGGCAGTGGTGAGTGAGTCAGCGAGCATCTTTGCAGTGTGTCAATGAATCAGGCAGCAGACCCCTCCCGAAATCAGCAGGGGACTAGGCGGCCAAGTGAACTTCACAAAAGGCAGCAAGTTTTGACGCCGGAGGGTTTCTTGGAACAATGCAAACGAAGACAAGCAACAACTCATGGGGTTTGATACAGCGGGCAAGCTCGCAGTTTACCAGGCTTTTGCAGTCGGATATGGTTGGTTCCCGTGCTTTGTCCGCAAGGAATCAACCACGCCCCTTCACTAGCTCAGTAGCATGCGACCGAAGGGAAGTCCTTGGGCCATTTTCGTCAAGGGAGCCAGATGGATTCCTGGTTGCCTTATTGCTTGGAGGGGTCGGGGGTTGGGGGCTTGGGGGCTTGGGGGGTGAGTCCTGAGGCTGTGTCTGTGCTGCCGTCTGCGTAATGAGGGCACGAGGGTGCCGGTGCGATGGTGCGAAGGCGCGATGCACGTGGCACTTGCGTGCGCGTGGCCAGCCGCGCGCAGGGGGCTCCTTGACGTTTTGCGCCACGAATCATTTTTTCTCCTTCCAACATCCATTATGGATTTTTTGATGAGCTTGCCAAGGGATGGGAAGGGTTGCGTGTTTGCCCGCTAACGCCGGCAATGATTTCTTCGAATGCGGCGACAAAGGCCGCCGCTGTTTTCACCACTAGCCTGTGGATTTGGAAGCGTGGGAACTGCTGGGTTCTTGAGGCCGAACCAAACCGCGAAGTGCTGCCTGGATCGCCTTGGGCTGAAAACGACCTCGGCGCGGAGGTGTTCGCTTACTATTTTAATCCCAAGCGCCAGATGTGTTGGGCGTAGACTGAACGTGTCATTCTGAGACCAGAAGGCCGAGGTGCCTTGCGGTTCGTGGTTTCTAGCGGAACCGGAGAGAAGCAAATGGCTGTGTCAAAAGTGATTTGGACCCCCAAAATGGTGGTGCTCCGGTTTCCCTTCTAAGTTGAAACAGGAACCAAATGAGGGGTGGGCATCTTTGTCTGATGCTTTTCTAAGCTTGGCATGCTAGTTCCATATCGCGCCGTGAAGTAGGGACCCCCTTTTTGGATAGCTTTATCATCGGTTTTAAAACCTCCAAGAGGGGTTCCGTATGTTGAGGGCAAGCCCATATCTTGCAAACATGTTTAATTTGCTTGGTGGATGTTGTGCAACTTGACTCGCGTCGGTCCCATCGAGCTCAAGCTTCAAAGGATAAGAGCGAGGGGTGTGCACGACTCTTGGTCAACAAGTTGCTGATCATTCGAGTGGTTTGGGGCATGAGTTGTGTCTGCATAGCGCCCTGACATGCATCCCATGTCAACACATTGTTGCACTTCATGTCCTGTTTGCTACTACCGAGCCCTTTGGTTTGCTATGCTTCACCTGGTTTTGTCGGGAAATAGATTTCGAGGGCATCTGGCCACCCAGAACCCGTCATTCATGTTTCTTCCACACAATGTTGCAGTACCAGGCCCATGTGTACCACTGACATATTTCTGCGGCGAGTCTGTTTTTGGGGGCACCTTTTCTTCTGAAGCCCATGTCGGGCGTTTCCCAATGAGCTAAACTCATGTGACAGTCCTCTCATTTTGGAGCGCGGCGTCGCCACTCCCTTTGAAGGCAGGCTGGAATCGATTGGCTGACCTGGAGTCAATTGACGAAACAACACGAAAGCTCCGACTCCCGGGTTTTCTATGGGGACATGGCTTCCTGAGTCAGGTGGCAAAAAGGGACCTACCCTCGAGCCTGGCGAATTTTCTGGCCAAATGCCTCGTAGGCCAGAAGCAAAACCTCTGCCTCAGCTTCTTCTGAGGATGACTCCCTGCCAACCATGAACGGAGCGCTAGCGAAGGGTTGGCGGGGGCGTTCCCATATTCCCCATATTCGCGGCATTCCATTTAAAAGCAAAGAACACGGAAGGGCAATTTTTGTCTGTGTGCCATGGCTCCTGGGCAAGTAGCTTTTCCGACTCGACGTTTTGCGTTGCCTCACAGTCCACGAATTGAGGGAGTTATATATGCGCCACCATGGGGTCGAAAGCGATTCCTTCTCAGTTCTTGTCAAATGATGCGGGCGGCGGATGCAGCCATGGAGTGGGGTTGTTTCGATCCGACAAGGGCCATGCGACTTGAAAGGCGCCCTTGCGCAAACAACGGGGAAACAACTGGTTTTATGTCAGACTCTTCCCTAGCAACGCAGGCAAAGACGTGACTGCGCACGATGCCATCCTTGGTCTAGTGGGCGGGGGGGCTCCATCCCTCAGCCCGTGATATGCTCAAGGGCTCAGAAGGAGCAAGGACAGCCGAGCGACGGGCATCGGGGTTGGGCGCATAGAGAGCACTCCAATATTCCCTGATAGTGGCATTCCTTTGCACACAACAAAGATCATGTAAACCTATTCTCATATTCCCTCCTAACAAGCAAGTTTTGTGGATCCCAGAGATACTGCCTGTGCCTCTGATAATTTGCATTGTACTCTGGACTGCAGTGAAGCAAACACCAATGTAGTGCTGCTTACGTATACCGCATATTTTAACGCCTCCGGCTCAGGCCGCCGACATTACAGGCCTGCTTTCTTACTTGCGTCCCTTTGGAATTGTCCCCTTGCCCCCTTCCCCTCTGAGATTTTTGCCCCCCTTTCTTTGTTGAGATCCATTCCCCCTTTCCGCCCTAAGGCCTTTTCTCCCTCTGATTTTTTCCCTTTTCCTCCCTAAGATGTTTTCCCCCCTCTCCCTGTTGAGATCCTTTCCCCCTTTCCCCCCTAATGCCTTTTCCTCCCTGAGATCTTCTCCATTTTCATCCCTTTCCCCCACTTTCCCACGGCCTTTTCCTCCCTGGGATCTTTTCCCTTTCCTCCCTGAGATCTTTCCCCCCCTTTCCCTGTTGAGATCCTTTCCCCCCTTTGCCCCCTACGGCCTTTCCCCCCGCTGAGATCTTCTCCCTATTCCTCCTTAAGATCCTTTGCCCCCTTTCCCTGTTGAGATCCTTTCCCCCCTTCCCTTTAAGGCCTTTCCAGATCTTCTCCCTTTTGCTTCCTAAGATTGTTTCCCCCCTTTCCCTGTTGAGATCCTTCCCACCCTTTCCCCCCTCAGGCCTTTCCCCCCCCCTGAGAGCTTCTCCCTTTTCCTTCCTTAGATCTTTCCCCCCTTTCCCTGTTGGCCTTTTTTCCCCCAGATCTTCCACCTTTCCTCCCTAAGATCTTTTCCACCCCTTTCCCTGTTGAGATCATTTCTCCCCTTTCCCCCCTAAGGCCTTTGCCCCCAGATCTTCTCCCTTTCCTCCCTAAGGTCTTTCCCCCCCTTTCCCTGCTCAGATCCTTTCCCCCCTTTCCCCCCTAAGGCCTTTCCCCCCCTGAGATCTTCTCCCTTTTCCTCCCTAAGATCTTTTGCCACCTTTCCCTGTTGAGATCCATTCCCCCTTTCCCCCCTAAGGCCCTTTCTCCCTCTGAGTTTTTCCCTTTTCCTCCCTACGATGTTTTCCCCCCTCTCCCTGTGAGATCCTTTCCCTCCTTTCCCCCCTACGGCCTTTTTTCCCCCCGCGATCTTCCCCCTTTTCCTTAGATCTTTTCCCCCCTTTCCTTGTTGAGATCCTTTCCCGCCCTTTCCCCCCTAAGGCCTTTCCCCCCTGAGGCCTTTCCCCCCTGAGATCTTCTCCCTTGTCCTCCCCAAGATCCTTTCCCTTGGTTGAGATCCTTTCCCCCTTTCCCCCCAAGATCTTCTCCCTTTTCCTCCCTAGGATCCTCTCCCACCTTTCCCTGTTGAGCTCCTTTCCCCCTTTTCCCCCTAAGGCCTTTTCAGATCTTCTCCCTTTTCCTCCCGAAGATCCTTTGCCCCCTTTCCCTGTTGAGATCCTTTCCCCCTTTCCCCCCTAAGGCCTTTTCCCTGCCTGGGATCTTCTCCCTTTCCTCACTGAGATCTTTCCCCCCCTTTCCCTGTTGAGATCCTTTCCCTCCTTTCCTTCCTAAGGCCTTCCCCCCCGCTGAGATCTTCTCCCTATTCCTCCTTAAGATCCTTTGCCCCCTTTCCCTGTTGAGATCCTTTCCCTTCTTCCCTTTAAGGCCTTTCCACTTTTCCTTCCTAAGATTGTTTCTTCCCTTTCCCTGTTGAGATCCTTCCCACCCTTTCCCGCCTACGGCCTTTCCCCCCCTGAGAGCTTCTCCCTTTTCCTTCCTTAGATCTTTCCCCCCTTTCCCTGTTGGCCTTTTTTCCCCCAGATCTTCTCCCTTTCCTCCCTAAGATCTTTTCCACCCCTTTCCCTGTTGAGATCATTTCTCCCCTTTCCCCCCTAAGGCCTTTGTCCCCAGATCTTCTCCCTTTCCTCCCTAAGATCTTTCCCCCCCCCCCTTTCCCTGCTGAGATCCTTTTCCCCCTTTCCCCCCTAAGGCCTTTCCCCCCCCTGAGAGCTTCTCCCTTTTCCTTCCTAAGATCTTTTCCCCCCTTTCCCTGTTGGGCTTCCCCCCCTAAGTCCTTTTCTCCCAGATCGTCTCCCTTTCCTCCCTAAGATCTTCCCCCCCCCATTCCTCCTTAAGATCTTTCCCACCCTTTCCCTGTTGAGATCCTTTCCCCCCTGTCCCTCCCAAGGCCTTTCCCCCCCCCTGAGAGCTTCTCCCTTTTCCTTCCTAAGATCTTTTCCCCCCTTTCCCTGTTGGGCTTTCCCCCTTTTCTCCCAGATCTTCTCCCTTTCCTCCCTAAGATCTTCCCCCCCCCTTTCCTTCCCACCCTTTCCCCCTGAGGCCTTTCCCCCCCTGAGAGCTTCTCCCTTTTCCTTCCGTAGATCTTTTCCCCCCTTTCCCTGTTGGCCTTTTTTCCCCAGATCTTCTCCCTTTCCTCCCTAAGATCTTTTCCACCCCTTTCCCTGTTGAGATCATTTCTCCCCTTTCCCCCCTAAGGCATTTTTGCCCCAGATCTTCTGCCTTTCCTCCCTAAGATCTTTCCCCCCCCCCAGTTCCCCCCCTTTTCCTTCTAAGGCCTTTTCCCACCCTCAGTTCTTCTCCCTTTTCCTCCCAAAGATCTTTCCCCCCCGTTCCTCCCTAAGTCCTTTTCCCTGAGTTCGTCTCCCTTTGCCTCCCCCGCTTAAGATCCTTTCCCCCGTTTCCCCCCTAAGGCCTTTTCCCCCCAAGATCTCCACCCTTCTCTTCCCAAAGTCTTTTTCCCCGTTTCCCGTTTGAGATCCTGTCCCCCCATTGCCCCTTAGGGCCTGTTCCCCCCCGAGAAAGATTTCCCTTTTCCTCCCAAAGATCTTTTCCCCCCTTTCCCCCTTAAGGCATTTTTTCCCCAGATCTTCTCCCTTTCAGCATGGGCAACATCCCCAGCATCACTTGCATCATCCGCATCCTTGGCAGGCTCTGATGCGGATGATGCAGGTGATGCTGGCGATGTGCCGCTGGAGCTGCTAAGGATGCGAAAGCGCACCCGGGGGGAATCGAACACCCCAATGTTTTTGACAGCCCGCACAATGAACAGATTTAGTGAAGCGTCTTCGAAATCACCGCGTGGTACGTGGACCCCCCCCCGCAATAGTCTGAAATGGTGCCCCTGGGGGGAGGGGTAACAGGTAAAGAGGTAAGGAGCATTTTTTGTGTCCAACACGCCGTCTGTTGTCGGCGGACATATATACATATACACGCATAGATATAACATTAGTATATGTATGGGCTTAATGTACGGATGGGAGGCCACAATGGGGCTGGGGCCTCAAAATGGCTTTGTGGTGTCCTGCCTCCTTTCGACCAATCAAACGAGGTCCCAGAGCCTGACGGACTCGGGCAGACGGGAGACTCCCTGTCCAATCGGTGTGGGCTTTGCAATGCGGGTGCGCCGCCGTGAATCCAAAGCGAAGAAACGAAACTCACATCCTGAGTTGGACGTTCGAGAGGTTTGGTCAGCAACACACCAATCCATATGTACTTCCAAAACTTCCAATCCAGGGGTGCATGGTTCTAGACCATGTTAGTACCGGGTTTTGATTATGACTCTGAGGAAAGCAAATCTTCGGAAATTGGAAGCGCACCTCGCAGAGAGAGATCCGACTTGTTGAGTGTGGAGCGAGAACGCAGGCGCGGGGCTCCTGCAAGGGCCGTATGGCCTGGAGTCTTTGTGCCTTGTCCACAAAATTGGAATGGGAAGCTTTGTCTATGCACATGTCCGTCTGTATATGCACATGTAATATGTATAAACCCAGCGCTTCCTGGTTACCACTATAGCTGGTAACTGGGCCCCGGTTACCAGATTTTTTGGAACCAAGCCCGGTTCCGAAAAAAAAGGGAACCAGAAACATGTCCGCCCGCCCTCGTTGCACCATTTTGACCCATCTTGGCTACATCCTCAGGGCGTAGCACCACGAGCTTCAGCAAAGAGCGCCGCAACACACGTTCATGCATGTTGGCGCCTGCATTTTGAGCACAGCTCACCTTAAGGACCCCCATGAAGTCCTCTCCACCGTAATTGTGGTAAAATCTGCAATTGTAAAGCTCTTTGAGCTGGTCACACAACATGTGATGGAACAAATGGCATTTTGGCAGGATCAGCCAACGCGTCATGTTTTGATTAGATGCCTCAGTTGCGGCAGCTAGCATGAACTGAAGCGCTGCCATGCCAACATCATACATTTGATGCGCTTGTTCATGTGATAGGTACCGTGGGGAACATTCGCATAGATTCTGCCACTCAGCAAGGGACCACCTCAGATCTTCAGCGCTGCAACGATTTTACGCTTTGCATTGAAGCATGCTCCTAATCTTGGATTCTGGGAACTGGCTGATCAAACAACACCGCGTTGGGGATGGCTTTGAAACGAGTTTGCCACCCCCCAAAACTTAAACTTGTGGTAGGTCCCAGCCAAACAGATCAAAAAGGGTAGGGCTTGAATAGGGTCAAGGCACACAGCTCCCATTGTCAGAGACGCCATTTGCTTGCGGCGGCCCGCAAGAGCAGCATCCTCGCCGGGCCGGGAGCCCAAGATCCAGGATTCCTCCTTGAACAGCTCGTCCTTAAAGGATGGGAGAGATCCCTGTTTCACAACTGGCTTTAAAGCTATCATAAAAGGGTATTGGGTATTGATGTTGCCAATATGCATTCGTGGCACGGACAGCCACGCCAGCACCACCCGAGCGTTGAAAGCTTTTACCAGCATCCAAGGGAAAACTGTGTTGTCGCACTCTTTGATGTGCAATGTGGCACGCTTCCATTGTCGCATGCTGCAAGTGATCCTGTTCGCACGGGTCCACATTTTGAAGCGCACAAACATTTCCTTGAGCCCTTGGTCCAACGCATCCTCAGCGCTCCTTTCAGCATCAAGAGATTTGGTGATCCAGCACTCCGTTAGCACCAAGAGGCCCTCTGCCAAGGCCACCGGATAGATCCCTAGATTCAAAGTGTGCATCGCGCACCACCGCCTGTTCAGGGAAAATGCGTCTTCAAGCATTGAGATCGGCCAGCTAAGAAACACTATAAGTCCCGGATCACTGTAAATTTTGAGGGGTGCGTGTAGCACTTGAATGATCCAAAACAAGGCATCCAACAAGCTTCTTAGGAATCCTGTTTGATCAATCGGCCAGGGCCCTCATACCATTCCAGAAACGACGAGGGGCATGTGGTCCACACTGAAACCGCGAAGTTGCACCAAAGGGGAATAGTCCAAGGGCAAGCACTGCGCCAGGAATTCGACTGTTGTTCTCAGAGTCCAGGATCGCCCGAATTCTGTGAACAGCGGCCCAAACCTTGTCAACATTCGTTGAGGGTGAAATGGGTGAGTGGTCCATTGAAACGCGTGGAACCCGATGGCAAAATAAGGGAATGCTTTGAATATGTTACCAGCAAGCAAAGGGGCTTCGGAATCCGAGCTGCTTCACACCTAAAGCATATGCGGCCTGCCTTCCACCAGTGGTGTGTGAGCTGAAATAGCTCAACTATCCATTTCCAGTCTCCACGAACCTCTGTTACTGCGAAAGAAGCTGAAAGACTTGGGGATTGCTGTGCCCTGGCAGTTGCAAGCCTGCCTACACCATACTGAGATCTCATCCCAACAGGCGGTCGTCTAGCTTCCAGCGCCAAGTTCAGTGACCAAACTGCTCGTTCCAAGATTGGGCGCAAGGTATCCTTACTTGGTTGCCAAGCTGATGAAAAATGAGTTTCCAAGTACACGCAAGGACTCAAACTCGGTTTCCCCGGTTGGTTGAGCACGTAAGCCGGTGTCGATAATCACTACAATCAGCGCATGCGAAGAGCGGACGATGCGGTGTTGACGACGGTCTGCTGACAAAATCGCGCAGACCGCTAACTGTCTAGAGGCTTCGCAGAACACGTGCGACGTGTGCGGGGCCGCTGTGCGGAGGGCCTGTATGATTTCAGCTACTACATGAGGGAGGACAACTTCATTCCCAGTACTCACGAGCGTGCGGCCTTGGGCCCCCTCCAATCGATGACTGTTGGCGATCCTCTTTGCCAAGCTCGAATCCGCTGCAAGGGTTTCCAAAAAATAATTTCATTTGGACCCCCAGGTGCAAGAATATTGTTTCAACGTTAACTGTATGATGATGGTTCTTCATGATGAGCGATTGCATTTGCAGTGTCCAACCACATGTATAGGCTTCCTTGAAACGAACATTTGGAGGTGCACTTTGGGAATTGATGAGGGAATTGAATAATATGGCCATGCAGGCAAGCGTCCACCCCTCCAGTTCCACAAGCTATGTTTGAGGACACGATGAAAAAGAGCAGGTTTTTTGTCCAGGCTGACCCGTTCTTCTTCGGTAACAGCACAAACTGTAGGCACAGCGCAATGAACTTATCCCCGTAAGTCTGGGAATATCTGGCCTCGTCTCCATAGACTGCGATCGGCACAGCAGTATCTGGTGCCGGGTGATCGGCTGCCCAGGTTCCAACCGCGCGCCAGTGCCGCCAGTACTGCCTGGTCAGCGCCCAAGAGGTGTGGACAGGGCCGGTGAAGGGGTGAAGCAAAAGTAACTAGTTCATGTTATCTGAAGAGCGAGCTTTCACGCACTGTTAGCATTCCAATATCGTTGAGGGTTCAGTAAAAGGGTATACCTGATCAGCCCTCCACGCATATAGCTGCATTTGAGCAGATTGCGCAAATGATTGCAGCGTCCAAACTTGAGGATTATATTTTCGTTGGGGGTTCAGTTTTGCCTGATCAGCCCTCCAAAAAAGATGACCCCCGACCACATAAAAACCTAGAGCAGAATTTGCTCATCTTGGAACTGCATTTGGGCAGATTGTGTAAATGAGGAACACCTCATGATTGTAACAAAAGAATCCCCCCCGTCCAAATTTGAGGATTCTTGAAAAAGGCAACCCTTTCAATGTAGTCAAGATCGCTAGGGGTGTGGGAATCAGGCCCGGCGCATGCTGGAAGAAAGAACTGGGGGTACCCCTCTCAGATCGTCATGCAAAGACCCGGCCAGCGAAAAAAAAAAAAAGCAAAGCTTGCAAAACAAGGCTCTTAAGCTCATCATCAGATATTGCAAATCGGCCGGTGCGCCACCCGTAATCCAACAGCTCGTGCGGGTCAAACATGGGCAGCTTCTTGGTCTCCCTTTCGCCTAAAGCATTGCAAACGTCACATGTAACGTAGCTGACGTCCAGCGGCAGCTTGACGAATCTGAAGATATCCCTAGAGCTGTTCGACTGTGAAATTGCACCAACGCGTCGAGTGACAGGATGAACATGTTCGCTCCCAGCTTCCTTGATCAAGTTGGGACTAGTAGGGGGTTTGATAGGTTCCCCCATGCCTGGATACAACTCGACCAAAACCAGGATAATTCCATGTTTGATTATAAGGGTGAGCGTGTTAAATTCCAACCGTTCTTTTTGGACGAACGTGACGCCCTGCCTGCACCACAGCATGGGCCTTCCGCACTGCTTCTCGAGCACTGCCTCCTCCCTCACCCAAACTGGACAGCCTGATCCATTGCCACGCTGAACAAATTAGTGCCGGCAAAAGGCTCCATTACAATGATTGTTTTTTGAAAGAAAGGTTTCAAATAAGCCCCGTCACAAGAAGAATTGAAAAGTAATCTAATTGTTGGAGTAGGAACAAGTGCGTAGCGAACGCTGCTTCTTCTGCAGTCACTTTCTCATTGTCCAGCACAGCACCTGCGTTGGGAAGGGGTTGGAAGTGGCTTTGTGTTTCAACATGTCGCGGCGCCAAGGCTGGACGCTTTTTTCTACGTCGCCATCATTGTCGGGGGCCCCGCGCACCACGCAGCATGGTTCAATGCGGACCCATGGGGTAATTTGAAAAAGATCATGACCACACCCTTCCAGTTCACACATCATCCGCTATGGGTTTGAAGGTCCCTGGATAATCCAACTGCAGGGTGCTTAGCTGGGCGCCTGAGTTCACAGGCTGATAAGCAGGCTGTTCGGCTCATGGGTGGGACCTTGAATCCCCGGCACAGTGGGTCCAACCAAGCCAGTTGTGGTATGTGCATTCAATGACCAAACTTGTGTTTAAACCTATGATCATATGTTTTTTTAATTTGGAGGGTAAAAACATATTAGCTGGTTTGGTTGGCCATGCTGTGCATTCTCAAGGCACCATCTAGCATGCGCCAGTCTTCCCGCCACACATCTAATTGGGCGCCATTGACCGGACAAAAAGGGAACTTTTTTCAGCTCCATTGATCACTTGTTGCAACATTTGGTCTTGGCACCATCCAACATCAAAATGGGTTTCCGGAGGCAACCGCAAGCATGTACTGTCTTTACCTCACCGCCGTCGTGATAACCAGCAAGGCTTCCCAAAAGAAAATGACTCAAAGGCCCTATATCCCCAAGTTGCTTTGTTTGCGGATGCCCCGTTTGGGTTGTATTGGGTAACTGATCAAACAGGTTTGCAACAATGGGCCTCCAAATTCAAAACAGGGCATGGTGTTCATTCTGATGCAACTGCATGGCTTCCCTGCAAACCCCAAAAGTTGCGCCGACAGAAAAACCTTGATAGAGCCGAGATGAAAACCCTGCTACCTTGATCACACAAATCCTGAGCTGAAGAATACCCTCTCATGATCGTGTTGGAGCCAACCAAACGAAACAATGTTGCGAAGTCCTCTTTTTGAAACCTAGCGAACCCAGCAAGGTTGCATCCGGCCCTTTACTTCTGCAGTGAGCGTTTTTGCCCACGAGATTTGGCACTCGCTTTGGCGATGGCCTTTGGCTTGGTGTGCTGTTTCACGGTGTCAGCAACTCGTTTCATCTCAGCACAGCGAGACTCAAGATCCTCAGAGCATCGGTTGCTCTTCAAATACTCGCGTGGATGACAACTTGCAACTGATCATGCCATGAACAATCATGCTTCTACAAAGGTGTTGAAGCCAATACGGAAAGCCAAGACTCTACCAAACGCGCCTCAAGGTTCTTTTCAGTGGCCATCGCTGCCACCAGAGCATCTTTGGCAGAGGACGTCGCTTTGACGGACTGCTGGAGGTCCTTCTGAAGCGCGCCACGGAAGTGGTCACTCCTCAGCAGTCTCAGTACCCGCTATAGCTTTACGAACTCGCAGCGCTAGTGATGCTGGTGGATGAAACGGAGCAAAGTGTCACTTCCGTGTTGGTCGCAGACGCAAGGTCCGTGGCCAGTTTGGCAGACTCTGTGAGGAGCTTGTGCGCAGTGTTGTTTGCCTGTGCGCATTTTCGCACAGATCACCTATGTGATTCAACTTTCTAAGTGTGTAATCAAATGCGGGGCCTGGGCAGCTCGTTGCTGCAAAGTCTTTTCCTTCGGAGTCTTCTTGACGTTCTTCACCCCGGGCCCGCTCGGGAGGCATGTGTCCCCCTGATCAATCTCGTCCAGCGCGTTGCCCCTCAATGGTCAGTGCAATGGTAAGAGAATGCCCCCCCAAAACAAGCTTTAAACAGATGAATGATTTTCCCAGCCCAGCACCCCAACAACATCTGATGAGGTACGATTTGTTTGGAAGGGACCTAGCGCATGAGGAGGCATGCCACCTTGCAGGAAAAAGGACTCTTTGATGATGTATGCACTCCTTTCCGCACCCCCAAGATGCTTACAGGGTTAGGAAGGTGAAGCCCTTTTTGGACCCTGATTAGGGTAGGATTCAAGTAAAAAAACAGTTGGACCACCCCTTTTTTGGACCCATTATGCGGTTGTTTCCGGATGTTTTTTGGGACAACTGGCCCTCGAGCCAAAAAAAGCCACTCGAACGGCTGACCCTCGTGAAACACTTGGGGCGGGGTTGTTTGCTCAAATGTTGAAACATTGCTACTAGCAACCCTTCGAATGGTTTTGCGTGTCAACCGAATCGAACGGTGATTGGGTTAATATCGGTTTTCTGTCTGGGGTGCAGGGCATCTCCCGTGGGTCTCAAACCACATGAGCTGTTTTTGAGCATGCTTAATTCTTAAGGTGATCCGGTATATAGGTCCAAAATGGCCCAAACCTTCCAAACCAAAAAAGTCTGATCAAAGGCTCCTTTGAAAGGCTCATGGATTCAGTGTAGAAATTTGGGCACGTTGCATGGACCGTTGGGCCTCTCACAAAGTGGGAGGGTCAAAAGCAAAATGGGTCATGTTTTGGCATATGGATATGTTTGAACGCTATCTCCGGGTTGCCTGGGCTGAGGAAACTATCCGCGGCTACCTGATTTCCATCGGATGAGCCGCTGCCCTGGCACCGTGTTTTGATTTGGAACCCCTTCAATGGCCACGTAGCCTGATTGCGCTCTGAACCCCTTTGAGCCCGGTTAGGGTAGGAGGTTTGCACAAGCGACTAATTTCACAGAGCCACATGGCCGTGTGGAAGGATTCCTCTTCCACCTCCGCTTGCATTGACAGTTCGGCGCTGTGCGTAATCTGCTTGGTTGTCTTGTCAATGTAGGCAGCGAAGTTCTTGTACTTCCACAGGTCCTTCCTGCTAGGGAAATCCTTGTGCCTCACATGGTCAGGCAATAGTGATGAGTTTCAAGCGCAGCGTGTGTGTGTGTGTGCGTGCGATCTCACACCCAACGAACTTTGGAAAGACCTGCGCTGAATGCGTGCCAGGCACACGCGGATGAACTTTCCTTTTTCGGCAGCCGATAGCTTGCTCTCAGCGTCAGCATGACGCTTCATTAGGTCCACGGCCAATTCCTCTCCCAACTCGGCCTTCATCTTTTTCTCGTCCCACCACTCGTAAATCTCATCAGAGGAGTGGGCGGTCTGTTTGCGGATGGAGACCACCAAGCTGCAGCGATCCCATTCGCCACGGCAGCTCACGTAGTGCATGTAAAGCTGGTGCATCTTGTTTCTGGACTTCTCTGCAGCAACGAGTTGCTCCTGAACTTCTGGCGGAGCCCGGCTGCCTCAGAGAAGTGTGGCCCGTTAATGGTGAACGTTCTTATTCAAGTGTGCACACAAGCGGTCTGGCAACATGGTGTAGCATCAAGCAGGCAGCTGCACTAACGCTCAACACAGGCAAGGAACTTCGGACACTGCGGTAAAAGCGCATGTAGAGCGCTGGAGGGTTCAAGAACTCGCCCTGCTTGTTCTTCCGCCACGCGTCCGCGTCATTGGCCCTATTGGCCAGAGCCCGGGGCTGAGCGCAAGGAGGAGAACCTTCAGGATCGCCCGTCCTCTCAGCGTTGCCCGTCTGCTCAGCGTTGCCCGTCTCAGCGTCGCCCGTCTTCTCAGCGTTGACCGTCTGCTCAGCGTTGCCCGTCTGCTCAGCAGCAGGCGTGCCTTCCTGCTCATCAGCAGCAGCGTCATTGGTTTCTTGCGCATCAGCAGGACGGTGTTCCTGCTCCGTAGCCATGCAGCTGTCGTCCTGCACGTTCGTAGGCATGCGCTCCAGCAGGTCCTGCTCAACTTCGTCGGCGTGGGACTGATCGTAGTCGCCTGCTTCGCTTCCTTGAAAGGACCAGCTTCGTGATTGGCGACGCGCGTAGTAGCTTTCATCCCAGCTGCTGGACCAGCGCGGTCCCCATCCATATCCGTAGTCGCACCAGCCATCATCCCTGCTGTCCGACCACATATGGTCGGGGCCCCACCACCAGCGCTGGGAGTAGCCACCCATCTTGCTGCGTGGAAGGCCTGCGTCCCAGCTGTCATCGCTGGTGAAGCTCAGCGTGCGCTTGCAGAGCTGCGCGGACGTGGCAGATCCAGATCCGTCCTCCGACGGTGTGGTTGGTGGCGGTGTGGGGCGTGGCTTCTTCTTGTCTGGGCTGGCAGTTGGCTCTTCGGGATCTCGTGGGCACACACGAGATTTGAGCGGCCTTGCAACGCTGGTTGGTGGGTTTGGGCAACTGGGCTCCTGTGAGCCTTCCTGCTTGTTGAGCTGCGAGGTCACGAGCGCTGCCTTGGGCGGAGTCGGCTTGGGTGGGCTGGCAGCTTTGGGCAGGCTGTCAGCTTTGGGCGGCGGGCTGGCATGCTTAGGCGGGCTGTCAGCTTTGGGCGGCGGGCTGGCATGCTTGGGAGGGCTGTCGGCTTTGGGCGGGCTGGCACGCTTAGGCCGGCTGTCGGCTTTGGGCGGCGGGCTGGCGTGCTCAGGCGGGCTGTCGGCTTTGGGCGGCGGGCTGGCATGCTTGGGCGGGCCGGCAGCTTTGGGCGGCGGGCTGGCGTGCTTGGGCGGGCTGGCATGCTTGGGCGGACTGTCAGCTTTGGGCGGGCTGGCGGTGGCCAGCTTGGGCGGGCTGACAGTTTTGGGCGTGGCCAGCTTTGGGGTGGCCGTGGGCGGGCTGCTGTCCGCTGTGTTGCTGTCACTGGGAGGCACATCTTCACTGGGTGGGGGCAAACTGGACGAGCTAGCCTTCTTAGGCATGCTGGCTGCTGTCTTGGCGTGGCCCTGCGCAGCTATGCTTGCCAGCTTTGCTTTTGCCAAGATATCCTGAACAGCATTAGGATCTGACTTGGCAGTGTGCATCACCACAGGTGTAGCCGCCTTCTGCGCACGCTTTCCCATGTAGCCTCCCAGGGTGGGAGGATAGGCTCAAACTGAATTGAATGGGTGGCGGATCGACTGGAACGATGATGGACTCAAGCCATTTGCATGAATGGGTGGCACAAGGATTGCATCAGTTCAGAAAGGCCCATGCCAAAATTCCAGTTGAGAGAGTTGTGATTTGATGATGAGGCAAGCAGTTTCGCGCTAGAGCTTCCCTAAATTGTTGCCAAATTGTTGGAGTCCAGACAGCCCAAAAACCAATTTCACGGTTCTCACGGTTCCGGCCCCCTATCTCACGGTTCCACCCCCCTATCTCACGGTTCCGACCCCCTATCTCACGGTTCAGCTTGTGTTGTACCTGGCCTTCAAGTCACCAAATGCGGCGCGCGAAACCTACTTGCAAGCAGCTCCAAATGAGCCTTGATGGCACGATGAACATTCACTATCAGCATATGTCCAATGTTCAGGATAAAGTCCCGCTTCCTGCAATGTGGTTCCACTTGGCTGGTCATGCAAGCATGTTCTAGACCGATCCCACACTTCAAATGCAAATATTTTCATGGAAGCACCGCCAGTTGAAACCCAGGAGTGCATGAGCACTGTGTGCAGCCAGAACTAATTATTCAGGGTGCTGTTGTAGCCAACAGACTCCCCTACAAAGCTGATCATTTTGATTGATCACGTATGCAGTGCATGTACACATGGTCGGCCAGAAACGTCTTGCACTCATCGGGACCAAGTGGTGTCACACTCACCGGCACGCCCTTCCGAGGCTTGAACTCCTTGCGCGATTTCAGGAAGGCCACGCACGGCCCCTGAGCTGGGGCAGGACCAGGGGTGATCAATAGAAACCACCCCTCAATGAGTAGATACAACAATCTTGAGTCATCCCGCTACTTGTGCATCTGTGTGGGCCAATGTTGAGACTAGGCACTAAGTCAGCATCGGCCCAAAAGTCGGCACCTGCCTGATTGAGCGAGGAGTGCGCTCGCTGAAGCCCATTTCAACAAAACCCTGCATGAGCTTGAAGGGTCGGGCTGTTTAGAAAAACTCATGGGACAAGATTTGGTCATTTAAGTGGTAACTGGGATGCCGGGAAACCTGCAAACCAGATTGAAACCCAATAAAGTAAACCAAGGATTTGGGAGTAAGATGGCAGAAGCTAAACTCCACTTCCATGGTTTCCCCAAACAAGACCCGCAACGTTTTCTTGGAAACACCCATCCAAATTCTTTCAACTTTGAGAGGTGGGACAACGGACAAGTGACGATAAGCTATTTAGTTTCCTCATCCTCAGGAAACAAACGAACCAGCTCAGCGTCTTTGATGCAAATGTAACTAGTCCTCATACCCATTACGAACTCCCCGAACGATTGTAAAAGGTGACCAATGTGCCTTGTTCATTCTTAAAGCTTGCTTTGCCGTTCATCCTTAATCCCAGAAAACCCCGCACACAAACCGGCGGCCTTTTGCAACGGGCCACGCTCCATGTGGAAATCTTCCGGCAAGGAAGGCATGTAGTTGAGCTCCTGAGCAGAGCCCCTTCATGTATTGCCCCCATCAAAGTTCAGTATATAGCACTTTTGCAACCCAGGATCCGTGCACCAGGTCTTGTGCAAACTTGCAATGCGGGAGCAAAAGGCAGAGGGGTAGCTTTGTGTTCCTTTGAGACGGGGTCCTCCGCTCCTTACATGGCCACATGTGCATGCGTGCGCAAGAACCCACATGATGTTGCAAGCTACATGGTCTACATTTGCCGAGATACACCCACAGCTTCTTTTGGGATTTCTTCTCAATTGTTTTCTTCACAATGCCAGCAGATGACCACTGGTACTTCTCACGGTCGGCCTTCGTGATGTGTGAAGCTGTTGCCAGCATGTGCACCCAGGGCCTCATGCAGCAATCTGAGGGAACCAGTGGAAACCATAGCGGCATGAATTCTCACGCACATGCAACGTGTAGGGTGGTGTCATGTGCTGTCAAGGCACGCGTTCCCCGTCACCAAAGATCTCTTGACGCTTGCGCTTCCAAATAGCCCCATCCAACTTAGTGGCGGTACTGGTCGCGGTGGTACCAGTTCAATCACACAATCTACTACCCGGCCCCATAGTGGTTCAACATGCAGTCGTGGCACAAGCGAACGATTGTGGCTGGCACCAGCCCATCCATGCACCGGTTGATGTGACGTACCCATCGAAGATAAGGCAGAAGAGGTGCCACCGACGAGCTTGGCTGCTCCAGCGCCCGCCATACTTGGCGGCATACACAAAGCAGCAAGAGAAGGCAATTTCTCGCACAAAGCAAATTGCCCATGGCAACTGAGGGTTTCGACATATCCCCACGAGGGTCATCTTTGCTTTTGCACGTTGTGCCCCTTGATATCCATACGTGGGCACTGCAAGGTAACCCGCTCCAAAACAAAGATCCAACCTTGCACCTCAGAGTGTACTGGACGGCCACCATCAGGCCCAGCCTTGGCGGGTGTCGTGCGCTGCCAAATTTACATTATACTCTGATCAGCCTGTTTTGCTGGGTTTCCGGCACAGTGCTTAGATCATGCTGCTTCGAATCAATATCCAAGTCATATCTGGCAGACACCATGCCACGGGAGCCTCAAAAGAGCGGGCAATGATGGCAAGGGGATGATCGGATTCAATGCGTGATCCAGTAAGTCCCAAGCTGAAGGATCGCGAGATGCCGCCCCATCCACAAAAGAAGTCAAGATTATCTAGATCCTTGGAGACATGCGGCCAACTATTCAAACCGCCATTTGGAAGCAGTGGCAGAACCATGCGGCAACACCAGGCCAGGCAAGAAGCTCTCCGAAACTTGCTGTTGGAGGTCTGGCTCACATAGTCCACCAGATGGATCCTGGGATGCATTCAACCAAGCAAGGCGGGAACTCCACGTACGGTTGTGTGCGGTCACCTTGCAATGGCCAATTCGTGAATGGCCATTGGGTGCAATATGGCAACTCTCGCGCTGCAAGATTCACATGGTTAAGCACATTTGGTTAGCCACAGCAGTCTCTTCCCCGAAAAGGGCCACAATACTAGCAACAAATCGGTTGAGAACCACAAGCAAGTTCAATCAAATTCTGAAAGGGGCCGGGAAAATTAATTCATATATCGATCGATATGTGGGATCCCACTATGGCTGATGTAAGTAAGCAAGATTCCAAACCGGCGGCGCCCCCAGGTACAAAAGCAGTGCCACCTGCGCTGGCGTCAGCTTCAAGGCGTGGGCCGGCATGGCGACTCTGTGCGCTACCGCCCTCCCGACTCTTTGCTGGTTGTCCGCAAATATGTTCCCATTTGAATGCTTTGATGTGAAACCACAAAACTGCGCCCTCAATTTTTTT